TTTAACGAAGTTTTCTTTCTTTCTTTTTTGTTTTCAACTGTTTTCTTTTTTTTTTATCCATTGTTTAATTTTTTTTTTAACTATAACTTCTTTTTATGAATCATCTATTTTTCTTATCATAACCATAGATGATTAAAAATTTAATAAATTGTTTGTAAAAAAAAAGTAATCAAAATATAAATAAAGTTAATCATATAGTGAACTTTTATCCTCCATTCTTTTCATTACTTCGTATATGATTCCAACTTTCACTTAGAGCTAAACTATGAAGAGGAATTATTGTCGGGAAAAATTGGCTATTACAAAAATTGTATGTGAAGTGCACTATTAAGGCCAACTGGACTTTAAAGAACACATTTATGATTTCGGTCAAATTTATCAATGCAAAAACACAGACCATCAAAATTACCCAAATATCGACTCTAGGCAAAAAAGAACATCAAAACTCCTTCAGTCTATTTCAACCGCATAACTCTGGGCTGTTTATATAAAGAGAGGTTCGAATGTACATGTTGGTTTATTGCAAAAAGTTCCTAAGGACATGGATGGAGCTTAACATTTAAGAACATTTTTGTGAATTTTGGCCTTATTTATTAAAAAAAACATTATTTTGACGCAAACCCTTTTCTCACCCTCAAAGTTAAGTGTAACTAAAAAAAAGTTGAAAACATTTTAAGGCCTACTTTTTGGATAATATTTACTAAGAACTATGAGAAATAAACATATTGGTGAGAAATATAGTAATGTAAATCTATTCTTTCAGTTTGAAAAAAAAATCCATTCCATTTCTATCAAATTCAATTGTTGTAAGTTAGCAAACCTATTTCCATCAGGGCGGGAACAGTTGAATAAGCTGAGAAAGGAGAGGGGAGACCAAGCATTGACGGTATGATTGCTCCTCAAAAATATTTTGCTCCCTAGACACTTTTCAGGCATTTTCACTTCCTCCCATATCTTCAAAATGAGTTTATGGAGCTCCTTTCTCAGTTGCGATCCTCCATAGCATATCAGCTCCTCTTGAATTCCATCCAGTCCCGGAGCCTTTTTTTGTTATTTTTCAATTTCGCTTTGGCCTCTTCTATGTCTTCATCATCCAGTGGCTCGCCATCGTTAGAGAAGTCCTCCTCCTCCCTGAAGAGCTCTCCCTCAAAGTTCTCTCTTTGAAGCGCACCGCTGAAGTGCCTTGCTCATCTCTTCAGAATATCCTCTGTCTCCGTCAAAAGGTTCCCATCCTCATTCTTGCACATAGTTATTTTTGGTTTTAAGGCATTTTGGCCCTCATTCACTTTTTGAACGAAGAGGCGAGTGTCACGAGATGTCCTGCAGTTTTCTACGTCCTTCATCTTGCAGTTCTTCTATGCTCTCTTTTTCTCCTATGCAATCTCTTTTCCTCTCTTCTTTTATTTCGGTACATCTCCTATGTTAGATGTGTATGGTACTGGGTAGCCTTCTTAGAGAAAGCTCAGGATCCTTCAGTTTATGAACGTTGAATTTTTTCACAGCTTCTCCAATATCCGAATTCCGTTTCGTGGTAATTCAGGCACGTATACAAGCAATACTGAGGTAGTGATCCGAATCCACATTTACTCCTCTATTTGTTCTTACTCCAATTACATTGGACCTGTGACGAGGGCTGATTAAGATGTGGTCGATCTGGCTGGTAAACACTCCATCAGGTGATCTCCAGGTAGCTTTGTGTATATTTTTGCCTGGGAACATGGTACTTCTGACCATCAGGCCATGAGTGTTCTCAAAGTCAATCACTCTTTGGCCATTGGCATTTATGTTCCGATGAAGACTAAAGGTTCCAACTGTTGGTAGGTGTATTCTTTTCGTGCCTATCTTTTAGCATTTAGCTAACTATTTTAGCTGGAAAATTATGTGGAAAATTGATGATATAAATAAAGTGCCACTACTGGTTAGCCGATTTCTAGGAAAAAATTGCTGTAACATCCCAGCCATATACCTATCTTAAATACGTAATATCAGTTTCTTATGGCTTTGCGTTTTTGAGCTAGACTGTTCACATACACCCACACACAGACACACAGACCATTTTTTCTGACTTGGTTGTTTCGACTTAAGGGACCTGAAAATGTAAGTATTTCTGTTGAAACCAGATTTGAAAATTTTCACGGTTTGCAATACTTTCCCTTACTATATATTATATATTACATATATAGGTAAGTGAAAATATCTGGTAACAACTATAAAAATTATATGAAATGAAATAAAAGTTAATCTTTATTCTAGGACATTTAGTTCCCTAATAACAAAGTTTATCATTTAATAAAACTATCAGTCCTTCATTTAGACAGTGATGGTTACAATGCTATTGAATATTTCAGCATAAAAATATGTACAAATATTGAAAAGAGTGCAAAAGATAACTATTTTGTCCTCTTTCTCACATCATCTCTATTGTCATAAATATTAGAATATTCTCTAAGAATATTAGGGAATTACACAAAAGCTCTCATTTTGAGGCTTTAGACATTTATTTAATATAAAATAACTGTTATATAATAAACTCATCGAAACCTGATTTTGAACTTTGGGAATAGGATATTCAGAAGAGATTACTGACTTCATTGCCTATGTGCTATGTTTAAGCCTCTTGTCATTACTTTTATTATTAATATTACTATCTGTTCATGGGTGATAAATATTCAGAATGCAGTCATTTTAAAGTTTTTATTGATGCTAAAGTTTCAACCAAAACATGTGAGTCATCATTATGGCGTGTTTCAAGTGGGACATGAATACCTTCAGTGCTCGAAACACGCCCTGATGATGACCCTCATGTTTGGGTTGAAACATCGGCACCAATAAAAACTTTAAAATGACTGCGTCCTGAATATTTATCACTCATAACATATATTTTAAATTTACAGAAAGGTTAATAATATAATCATACTTTCTGGCTTGGTCATTGAATTTTATTGTTATTGATATTTTTAATTGAGCATAAAACTGATCATATAAACTTGATGGTAGTTAAAGGTGCAATAAAGGTGTGCATGTGTTTTTCAAAGCGAATTTATTTATATAAATTTCAAAGACTATCCAATGATATATGTGCCGTTTGGATGGATGGCCTTTTGCCACTTTTCTAGTAAAACCATAAGTCCGTCACTGTAGAAGTTCTGAGATTTTTGGATAAAAAACTGAACCAAGTGATTTTCACAATCCTCTTTTGATGCCAGCTTTACACCATTAAGAGAGTTCTGCAGAGACTGAAACAAATGGTAGTCAGATGGAGCAAGATTTGGGCTATACAGTAGATGCATTAAAACTTCTCAGCCAAGTTCTCTCCATCTTTGCCACATTATTAAAGATGTGTGTGTTGATTATTGAAGATGTGTGTGTTGATTATTGAAGATGTGTGTGTTGATTATTGAAGATGTGTGTTGTAGCATTGTCGTGATGAAAGACACCTTTCCTATTGATCAATTCTGACCACTTTTATTGAATTGCGTCTTCAATCACACTAGTTGTTCACAGTAGAAGTAGAGTTGAATTATTGGTTTGGCCAGGTTCAAGCTCATGATGAACAATTCCTTTCCAATCCCACCAAATACTCAGCATCGCCTTCTTAAGCATCAATATGGGATTCGCCTCTGTTTGTGAAGCTTCTCCGGGCTTTGACCACGATCTTTTTCACACATTATTGTCGTATGTGATTCACTTTTCATCACCCATAATTATTTGTTTCAAAAATGGCTCAATTTTGTTTCGTCTCAGCAACGATTCACAAATGGATAGTCGGTCCATTAAATTTTTCACTGTTAATTCATGTCAGTATTCAGCCTTATTTAAATGATTCAAAACTGTTTTCTGATCAATGTTTAGTTCTATAGTGATATCTGGAACCTGAAAGTTTTTAAGTATTTACACTTTTTTGACTATTGGCAGGCCAGGACAAGGTTCATCTTTTACATTGAAATTTATGAAACTAAAATGAGCAAACCAATTCTGACACTGGCGATCACTTAAGCACTCATCACCATAAACATCATACAATTTTTGAGCCTACGCTGAATTTTTCCCTTTTTGGATATTAAACAGCAAAATATGACTTAAATGACCCTCTGAAACCTCAATTTTTTAAGCGCAATAACTGTCAACTGAGTAAATGAATGACGATATTTTTATATATAGAATGACTTCATTGAATAAGGATTACAAGAGATGAAATATTTTAAAGTCATCTATTGGAATAAAACAAAATTACTTTTTCCTCATCGCATGTTACCAGTTCCCAATGTTTTGAGCCAGTAACCATACTTTTGTTATCCTTTTTGTGCTAACCTTATCATTCTTAATCTTTAAAAACAAGCACTGATTTTTGAATTACTTAAAATTCATAACAATATTGCTTTATTGATCTAAGTATAACCATAAATGTTTATTTATTTATTTTAAGATAATAAATACCTCTTAATCATTGCTCTCACTGGCAGAATCAAGGAATGGTTGGAAAAATATCAATATTTAAAAAAATATATTTCAACATTTTTGTCTGATATTATTCCTATGGTTTTGTTGATATTGAAATTGAAATATCAGAAGCAACATATTTTAAGAGCAAACAAAAATATTGAAAAAACATCCGGGTCAACAATCAAAGAACAAAAATAATCTTATTGAAATTGAAAGTGGACTATTGATGTGGTCTGTGTTTGATTAGATAGTTAGTTTCTTAAGTAGTACAGCTGTATTTCTGTAGTGGTATAGGGTAGGGATGCAAAGTCAACGCTCTTTGTGATGTATAATAGATAATATACATTTTATGTTTAATCAAATAAAAGTTAATTAAATTGTCTACAAAGTTTGAAAAGAAAACAATAATATAAAACATAAAATATTGGACGTAGGATTTAAAGTAGTTAAAGATGTAATGATAACTGTTAGTAAATATTAAACCATTGTGTAGCTCTAAATCACATATTTGTTTTGAAGTATATTAGTCTCTTATTTAATATTTTAATACCTTTCAGATTTGAATGTCGAGTTCACAGATATCCGATTAAAAAATATTTCAGAAGAAAATGAAGGAAGTAGAGAACTAACAACTAATTCTTCAACTAAAACAGAAAATCGTTTTCCAAGAGTGAGTAATATTTAAATTATTATTTGTTAATGTAGATAAGCTCATTTTCGAACTCTACCACGAAAATTATACCTAGCTATGTCCACACTGTTCAACACCCCTATCAACTTTCTATTCCTTACATCAGTGGTTTTCTTTATTATTATTATGTATATATATATATATATATATATATATATATATATATATATATATATATATATATAGAGGTACATATATATATATATATATATATATAGAGGTATATATATAGTATATATATAGAGGTATATATATATATATATATATATATATATATGTCATTATCAATATGATTATATGTACAATAAACCATGGATACTTTGGGATTAGGGAGTGATTAAGTACTACAGTTAATTTTGAATATGAAATTACCTGGCGGGCAATCCAGAGACATTAGCCTAGCTCAAAGAGAGTAGAACCAGTATGAGTCCCTGGTCATAAGGAAATTAAAGGCAATGGAAAGCTGACATCTTTGCAAGAAAGGGAGGTGAAATCTCTATTATGGGACCAGAACCTCCAATAGGAATATCAAAGAGACGTCAGTGTAAAGAAATCCTTGATGGGATATGGAAAAAAGCATGTAATAGTCCGAGAGTCCGTGAGAAAAAAATCGACATTATTTGCAATCATCCACCAACTTTGACCGACTTGCATAACTATTCAGAGCCCCAATTGCCGCTTGATTATCCGTTTATATTGTTATCAATCTATTCACAATGCCCTCTTTAATAAATCTCAGCTTGAAAGACGGACGTATATCTACCTAGAGATATGAATATTCCTTCATTAGGCTTAATTTTTCTCCAGATACCACCCTCTGATCCCTGCTCCATTAGGGAGCCGTCGGCATAACAGTTAACTCCATTACATGGTCAATGTGAGTTATTCCTGCTTATATTCAGATTATATAATATGTATCTATAAATATCAACTTTATGTAATGAAGAGGAGTTCGTCAGACGCACTACGGTACACCCTCCCGGCACGGACCTGTGCCAACCATGGAACATATGGGATCTTTGCACTTGTCTAGATACAAAATAAATAAATGTTTTAGAGAGGAATACTTGTGAATATATATGTAAAATAGCTTACGTACAGTTTGATGAGGGGGCCGGTCTCGCGCCTTTTCTCTCTCTCTCTCTCTCTCCGCCGTTCTGGGTCCAGAAATTATCCGAAGGGCTGTGGTTCTGGAGGTCTGGTCAGAAGATAGGTCGTCAACAGTCCCTTTTCCTGCTTCGCTCGCTAGCATCTGTCCTTTGGCCGCAGATAAGGCCGTCTTAGAGAGGGGGTAGTGCAAGTTGAGACCGGGGGTCCCCCCGTGTTGTTTATACAACGATAATTTAAAATGCTGTGTACAATAAAATTTTGGATGTAAATCCAACAGACAGAGTCGAGGATGTAAGAGGATTTTTTGGTTGAAAAGGCTCGAAAAAGGAATACACCTAGGAAGTATTGCGTCAGAAGACTGGATAGAGCCACTTCAATTCAGCATACCAACTGGAGACATGGGAGTGCCTGGGGACTCCATAAATGAATCTCCATAAATAATGATGCTGGTGCGACTACAGACTTTCTATGGTCATATTAATAAAGAAGATGATTCGGAATTCTTTCAATAAAAGTTTGATTTTTCTTGCTTCAAGAATTGGATGTCTAATGTATTAGTTAATAGTAAATTAAATTTTATCTAATATACTGAACTACTAACTCCTGAGACCATCATTGCTGTAGCAGAAACCTAGATTTTGTTTTCTGTTCTATCTGCTAAAGATCAACTCTGGTTGATCTTCCTGAGGTCAGAGATGAGCAAATGCTACTTTGAGTACTCAGTACCAAGTATTTTACTCAAATGCTAACCTTTTTTGAGTACCAAAGTATTTAATTACTACTTCAGCTGATGTGAAATGATGAACTGAAGTAGTAGTTAAATTTCCAATAGTGATTCAATTTGAGTAAAATACTTGTTACTTGGTACTTAGTGTTGCATTTGCCCATCTCTGCCTGAGGTACATCCTGCCTTTTTAACTTAACCCTTCAATGGGTTATTGGGAAAACCTGACGATTGAATACTGATTTTGACTTTTGTCACTTCCCATTATAACCATTGGTTATGCAATGATACTGTCTTATTAAGCACTGAATCCAATATTCTCTCACTTACATATTTCTGGTATATTTAATTTACTACACTTATTTATTTGTTTTCATCTTAGGTTCCCTCTGAGGCAGATTTTGATGTGGTGAAACTTGTTTCTAATGGAGCTTATGGAGCTGTGTACTTGGTTAGGCATAAAGAAACAAGACAGCGTTTTGCAATGAAGAAAATTATTAAGAACAATTTAATGTTAAGAAACCAGATTGAACAAGTATTTGCTGAAAGAGACATAATGAGTTTTACTGACAACCCATTTGTTGTGAGCATGTACTGTAGTTTTGAAACAAAGGTATTAACTTTTTCTTTTTACTTAATTTTTAAATGTCTTATTCTTATAAAAAAAAATGAACTTTACTTAAGATTTAGAACTAAGTATTCTAAGTAAAATGTTTAACTGTTTCAATTTTATTTGTTAAGAATGTTTCCAGTTTTATTTTTACTGTACATTTTTTTTTTTTTTTTAGAAACATCTTTGTCTTGTAATGGAGTATGTTGAAGGAGGAGATTGTGCAGCATTATTGAAAAATAGTGGTCCACTTCCTCCTGATATGGCACGTTTTTATTTTGCCGAAACAGTTTTAGCAGTGGAGTATCTTCATAGTTATGGAATAGTTCATAGAGATCTCAAACCTGACAAGTAAAATAAATAGTGTTTTTGATTAAATTGAATAGTATTTAAGTAAATCTACATCTATTAATTTTATCTAGTTTACATTATTTATCTTTTTCTTTTGCTACCTCCTTAGTGCCATTAGCATGGAGGAACTACTTCAGCCCATCTAGCTCACATATTTCTGTCATTGTCTTTTACTCTTATCTCTATCATGTTGCTGCCTCTGGCTCATCCTAGACTCTCTGTAGTCTCTTAGTACATTATCCAGAAACTGCCTTTGGGTCATCTTCCCTCTGGTTTTGCTTCCAGGAACCATTTTTTTTTTTTTTTTTTTTTTCTATATGATCTCTACACTGAAAGGTAGAAGAGATTATTTAATAAGTAGAAGAAGAAGAAGTGTTTCTATTCTATATGGTGCACATGGCCGAACCATTATAGTTGTCTCTTCTAAATCATATTTGACTGGCCCAATTCTTCCTCCAATAAAGAACACCTAAAGCAATAGTTGGATATTGGAATAAAATTTTTGTACAGGGACAGCTCTTTATATGTGGACATTGTTGTTTTGATCACTGACATCCAAGAAAGATTACAAGTTATTGTCAATGAATGGGCTGAAGAACTTCATTGAAAAAGGATGGAAGTAAACTAGGGATTGACCAATGTTGGACTATCAGCCAATATACTGATATATTTATTTATCTTAATGAAAATATAATGCATCTTTATTGGTAATAAAATGTAGGTAATATTTATACTTCCTGTCAATAACAATGGGTTCAGTTAATTCTGAGAATAGTGATTCTCCATTTGAGTGAGTTCATTGAGATGGACAGTTTAATTATTATAGTTTCACAAAATTACTATAATAATAATATGTTGAATAATAAAATATAATATTGATTGACACGCTTATTTAACAGTATTCTAGGAGAATATTCCAAATGAAACAGTCTGAATCTTAACCGAAAGAAAAGAAAGACGTATAGCCAGATATATATTGGTCATTGAAATTTTAGTATTGGCTAAAATTTCTCTATCCAGCTATCCCTAGAAGATAGATTGACACATTTATTCACCAATAAGGCTGATATTCCAAGTGAAACTGTATAAACCCTTTTTTTCCTCCTCCTACCTCACCTTCCATACCAGGGGAGAGGGCAGAGTGTTAATGCCAGAGTTAAAAGAAACTTCCAGCATCGGGACTCTGATATATCAGTATCAGCCAAAATATCTCTAAAGTAAACCCTATCAACAGCAAGGTAATGCTTAACGGCCTAGATGTGGAAGACTTAATTATATTTCATACACTAATGAGCCAATAGAGAAGGTGAATAACTATAATTTCTTTTAATTGTCAATTAGTATTAATACTTATGATTATTAATATATTGCAGTATGCTTAAATGGCCATCTTAAAGAAAAAAATATTCCCTAAAAAAAAAAATATGCAAGATAGGTTATGATTTGTAGTAAACTCTTGATCTGTGATGAAATGTGAAATCTCTTGGATAGATACTTCTTCCTCTTGGTCTGCTGTTTACTTGTGGGTTGCTCTGTAGAGACTGAATCTTAAAGTTGCAAATTTTGCAAGGAAAAATAGTAAATATGGTGAAGTAAGGGTGGATTTTTGAAGTTTTACTGGAATATTGTTAGAACCATTATCATTAGTGCAGGATTTTAGGATTGTGGAAAGTAGTTTGTCATAGGACACATGGGAGAAAAAGAAGTCTTCAGGATTGAAATTACGATGTTTAATATCGGAAATAGGAAAAGGATTCATGTAATTTCTCATTATGACATTATGCAATGTATATAAAAAATAAAATAAATTAAAAAAAAAAAAAGGAAAAGGATTATGAGTGAAGGAAAAGAAATGGTTGTTGAGATCATCTGGAGTCACTGGTAAGGAACTGAGATTATTGGATTCTGGTAGGGACAGATTACTGAGTACTTAAAATTTTTATATGGAATCAGGAGCATTCATTGGAAAGGCCATTATGGAAGTAAATGACTTTAGCAAGTCGCATTGCCGATTGGGTTCCATTTCGAAGTTCCTTGAAAGATATATAATCCAAAGGCAAACGGATTCGACGGTACTTGTGCCTTGTTGCATCCCTCCTTTTTATCATTTCATTTATTTCAAGGGTCTGCCAAGGTGCTGTGGGACGACATAAGGCTCTAGTTTTCAGAGGAGCATGGATGTCTTATAAGGATTTTGATTCAAACGACTTTTCAGATCAGATATTTTAGTTTTTAACATATTGTTTTCTAAGGTTAGTTTTTCTACGCTTGTTTTCTGTTCTTCTAGTAGTGTTTCGATTTTTAATAATTGGTTCATGTTTTCAAAATACAGTTCCGACTGCTTCTGAAGGATTTCTTTTATTTCCTTCAGCTCCTATATCCCCTAAAGTTTAGACTTTATTTGTTTAACTTCTTCTGTCAGCGCTCTCAGTATATCAATCTGAGGATATCAATGCTGATTTGCAATTGGTACATTTCCATTTTTTATTAATCTCTTTTAGGCCTTCTGTGTCTCCAAAAATTCGATTTTCATGTCTTTAGAATGAAAAATGTTTTGACACGAGACTCAAGTTAATTGAGTCTACTGCTTTTCTGCTTAATTTACAATTTACCATTTTAGTTCAAAAAGGAGCAAATTCACAAATGCTTCAAACAAAAAGAGAAGTAGGAAAAAATAATAACAATGCAGTACCACACCTGTTTGTTTGGGTGGAGGCTGATAGGATTAGGCTGCCGCCAGGCTATCCCCACTACTCCAACTCGGCTGCTTCTATTATGGACACTTTCTTTTACTATATAACACTATTTCCACAGAAAATAACTATAGTGAATGACTATAGGCAATGGTATTAAAGTAATATTACAAAATAATGTGTCTGTGAAAATATTTTAAGAGATGTCTGACAATGGGGGTTTAAATAATATGTTAGTGAGACGCACTTAGGCTGACCGGCCACCGAAAGTGCAGCTAGCTGAGTGTAGCTAGAGGGGGTCAGCAGCCGATTGTGTAGCGGAGCTCAGCTCAGTTAGCAACTTGCCTTGTATCGTTACCCTTCTCATATTCCATATAACATTTTTAAAAAGTATTTAATATTTAAAAAAAAATAACGAAGTTGATCATGTCGAAGCTGAAAAGAAAAATCTAATATTTGTGTATAAATTCGAATATTTTCCCTTACACATTCGATTAAGAATTCTTCCATATCCATTGCATATTTTACATTGAACCAAAATAATTTGAGAGTTTGTGCAGTGAAAACAAATAGAAAAAAAAGATGGCACTGAGGAATAAAACCCCACGGTTGTGTGACAGTGGGGAGGGAAGGTTCGCGTAGCGGAGTCAGCTTCCAAAACTGAACCTCGGTCGACCTAAAGTCATGCCGCACAACTGCACTCAGCTCAGCTCTGCTTTTGGTGGCCATCCTTTCATTGACGAATCCTTTGGTTCGGTTTTGGAAGCTGACCGGTCGGCCTTAGTTAAGCGCTTGACTGATCAAGAGATATTTTAAGACTTATATTATGTTGTTATGAAATGTAAAAAATGAAGAATTGGTGAACCTTGTTACAGCCCTATTTTTTTAATTATGATTGCTCTGCACCTAAAATTCTTTTATACATATTGTTATTTTTGCTTCTTGAATTTTAATTATTTTCTTTTATGTTATGTAGCCTTCTGATTACTGCTTTGGGCCATATAAAGCTTACTGATTTTGGATTAAGTAAAATGGGATTAATGTCCTGTAAGTATGTTACATCTACATTTTTCTATGGTTTAATTTTAGATGAGTAAATTTAGTTTATTATAAATGTAACAATGATTAATTTAAAAAAATGTATTTATTTATTTATTTATTAATGAATTTTGAAATATTAGTGTTTTCTTGATTTGGAAATTCTTGGATTGAGTTTTAGATTTTATAATATTATATGAGGATGTTTCCGAATTACTTATTTATGTGTGTATATATATATTTATTATTTATTGAAACAGTAAAATAGAAGTATTTGCGTTTGCATTAATTAATTTAAAACTTATTGTTTTATCATTAGCACAAGGCTTAATTTTTTTATTTATTTTTCTTTTATTTGGGTTTTATACAACTTAAGGAGTCATATCCATAACACCCAAAAGCCACTGCTCCCTGTCCATCCAATCTCCTTTACGATGCCCTCTGGCTGCCATGCTTTCCTCCACGTCCTCTGTCCATTTTTTCTTTGGCCTTCCACGCTTCCTTCTTTCTGGTGGCATATAGTTATAAATTTTCTTTGGCCAGCGGTTCTCATCCATCCGCATTAAGTGGCCATACCACTTTAACCGTTTGGTCCCGATCAGGTGAAGGATGTTCTTTTGACATCTGACCTTGTCTCTAATAGCTGCGTTTGGGATCCGCTCGATTCTGGATATGCCACAGCTTCTCCAGAAATCCATTTCCATGGAAAGCAACTTATTTTCCATCTTTTTTGTCAGTGTCTAGACTTCTGATCCGTAAGTGGCTACGCTTTCTACAAAGGAATGGTATATCTTCTTTTTAATTTCTAATCTTATTTCTTTACTCCATAGGGTTGAATTTATCGAACTTATTATTCTTTTCCCATTATTTATTTTATGTTCGATATCAACCTCACTACCACCCTTTGAAGATAACCAGTATCCGAGGTACTTGAACTGCTGGCTGACATTTAGCGTCCAGTCATCAATTTCAAGGGGCAAATTTGGAACGTTGAAAACCATACACTCTGTTTTACTTTCACTGATTTTCAGACCCCATCTGGAATACGTGTCTAGCAACTTCCTCATCATATAGCTAACATCATCCGGATCCGATGCGATTATGACTTGATCATCGGCATACAAGGCTTAATAGAAACTCAAAAAGACAACCATGTATTACAGATAGATTGGGAGAGGGATTCTACTGTTTCAATGAGGATGGGAGTCTATATACAGTACTTATACAATTAACATTTTGACTGCTGATAACAAGATATCTTGTAGATTGTGTTCTTGCCTAGGGTGCTAATTATGGGTTATCTCATAGGTTATTTACTTGCCTTATTTGTGCAGCTATGATGAAGTTCATAATATCTAAATGTAAATATAATTAGATAGACTCAGGAAAGACAAGTTAGGGTCACCTATCTAGTCTTAGGCAGACTTCTAGTTTTTACACAATTAGCAAATACTCGAATTCTTAGTGATGGTCTCTTGGGTGGTATTTCTTTGAAGTGTTTAGGATTCATTTACTTATGAATCCTTCTTTTCTATTCCTTTCTTGTTGGCCTATAAAATACTGTCTCAAAATAATGCTGTACGACTACTTTTACTAGTGAGGATTGTTTAGAAATTATTTGGCTTTAAATATATTTTCTTTTATACAGATATCATTTCGTTTTGAATTTTGTTGCTTAACTTTACATAATTTTTCAAATGACCACAATTGGTCTATAAAAATGTGAGGTTTTTTTTTATGGTCATCCCCTGACAATCCCAATGCTTCTGTGTTCTTACTACTAAGAAACAGTTGATTTTTCTTCTTCCTTTGCTACTTCCTCAGTGCCATCAGTGTATTTCTCCACACTTCATCAGCCTATTTCATCCACCAATCTCTGTCAGATTTTACTCTTATTTTCATCATGTTGCTGCCTATAGCTCCTCCTAGTCTATGTAATCTTCGTACATCAGCCTTGGTCTGCTTCTGGATTGTTTTCCCTCTGGTTTTGCTTCTATTATCCAATTTGCTTTTTGGGTATCACCCATATGTTTATCATTGTTGGGTATCACCATGGCTGAATCATTTCAGTTGTTTCTCTTCTTAAACATATTTAACTTATCTTACTCTAAAGTACTGATAAACTAGTTTCTTAGTTTTCCTAGTTTATCAATACTAAACTAGACCTAATACATGATGTCATTTACAAGTTTGATCATTGGTGACATGGTAATAGTGAGAGAATAATGGTCACTGGTTTTGTGTATAATATTTTTGTAGGATTCAATTTTTTGCAGTAAATATTTGAATTTTTTTTTCCTGTTGGCATTACAGACCATGTAGATCTTTTGCTACCTTAACAAGCCTGCTCCATCTCTGCCTGTCTTGGGCTATTTCTCTCCATTTATCTGCAAGCATCTCTATTGCATCTTTGTTGATTCTATCTATCCATCTGCTTTTTGACCTTCCACGTGGTCTTTAGGCTTTTATTGAGGCATTCATTATTACGTAGAGGCTTCCAGATGGATTGTTACATGCCCCGCCCATCTTAGCCTCCATGCCTTCATATCATGGGGTATTGATTGAGCAATTTATGTAAGCAGTTCTTTGTTGGTTTTTCTTCTCTATGTGTTAGTACTCTGATCAGGTCAGATTGCTCAGGTTATTGTGTGGGGGCTTTTCTTCTCAAATCTTTCAACACTTTTCTAGAGTGTTGGTTAGTGTCCAGGTCTCACAGTCATATATTAGAACTGGCTTTATCATAGTATTGTACACCCTTAGTTTGAGATTTCTTGAGATTTTTCAGAATTTCAATACCTCTGAGAGGTAGAAGAAAGCTCTGTTTGCGCTAGTTACATGCTGGTCTATTCTGCCAGTTGGTCATTCATTGAGGTTATTGTAGAGCCGAGGTATTTGAATTTTTTTACTTTCGGGAATGATTTTCCTTCTGGGCAGATCCTGTTATTGGGGTGCAATTTTCGGCTTATAATCATATATTTTGTTTTGTCTTCATTTACTTGTAGGCCAATCTGCTCTGCCTCTATTAGACTGATAAGCAGTATTGTAGCGAGTTTCTCAATGTCTTCTTGATTACTTCCAAGGACAGCTATATCATCTACTGTCATATGATATTTTTCTTTTTCTCTTTTTTATGTATGAATTTGTATTTTTAATTTTATAACCTTAATTTTTACTCTAGTTATTTACATCAAAAGTTGTGTAATTCCATGATACTCTCATACTAAAAAAACAAAAAGAAAACATTCTCATACATATGAATGATAAATTAGAACAAATTATTTCATCAAACTTAAAAGCAGATGTTTTTTAATATATTCCTAATGAATCACTACTATCAAAAATATCTTTTATAAGCATTTAAACTAATTAATATGAAATTGTGATTTTTACTTGAATTAATTTAAATATTATTTTGTTAAAATTATTTTAGTGGCCACAAACTTGTATGAAGTATATATTGATCGTGACACTAGACAGTTTTCTGATAAACAGGTTTCAGGAACCCCCGAATACATTGCTCCAGAAGTTATTCTTGGGTAAGTTTGTTTTATAATTAATATTTAATTACTTCAGAGTTTACTTACTTATAATTCTATTTTTTTATTTACTGGTACTGGTGGGGGGGAACTAGTCCAGCAAGTGGGCCTAAGTGGTCTTTTTTGCCAACCCCTGATGGCTACCATTGAGGTTGTCGCCGCGTACTTGCCAGAGCCAGAGAATGTTACTATCCATTTCCCGGTGCCGCCGAGAAATGAAAAGTAACCGACCCAGGTAGGAATCGGACCCACAACGTTCAGAACCGGACACTCTGGGACCCATGCCCCAACATGCTCGCCCATTCCGTCCTCTCTGGTAAACCTAACTCTCAACCTGTAATAGCCTTGAATTGAAGGTTCAGAAGTCAAGGGTATTTCTCGTAGAACCAAGAATAGAAGAACCAAGTAAGAAGGAAGTTGATATAGCTACCAGAAAATTAAAATCTTATATAGCAGCAGAAACCGATGATATTCTTAGTGAACTAATTAAGGCTGGAGTTCATAAAACACATTTTTTGGTTAAAAAGATATGGGAGAGTGAGAAATTGCCAAAGAATAGAAAGAACCCATTGTAATAACTATCGAGAAATTTTAACTAATCGAATCACGGAATACGCTGAGGAAATTAACGGAGACTACCAATATGGGTTTAAGCAGAACCGTTCGACTATCGATCAAATATTTTCTTTACAACAAATATTAGAGAAAAAATTAGAGTACAACGGTGTTGTTCACCAGCTGTATATTGATTTCAAAAAGACTTACGATTCTATTGACTGCCAGAAACTGTATAATATTCTAATCGAGCCGGAAATTCCAAAAAAATTAGTAAATCCAATCAGAATGTGCTTGACGGAAACAGTCAATAAAGTTAGAATTGGTAATAATTTATCTGAAAAGTTTATGGTTTGTTCGGGCTTAAAACAAGGTGATACTCTTTCACCTGTCCTATTTAATTTGGCATTAGAACATGCCATTAAAGAGGTGATACACACCGAAAAAGGTTTGAACCTGGGTGGAACAATATCCGTGCTTGGGTATGCTGATGATTTGGTACTGTTAAGCGAAGACATGGAAACAATAAAACTAAATACAACAACGTTGATGAAAGCCGGTAAAGAACTAGGACTCGAGATAAATACGGATAAGACAAAATATATGGTTAGCTGCAAAAACAGCGACAATTTCGATGATATCGATATAGAAGGGAATGTGTTTGAACACGTACAGAATTTTAGGTATCTAGGGTCTACGATAACTAGAAAAAACGAAATTGAAGAGGATATTAAGGTTAGGTTGAAGGCGGGAAATGCTTGTTATTTTTCTTTGTCAAAACTACTTAGTTCTCGCCTTCTGTCCCGAAACTTAAAAATTAGAATTTACAAAACCATTATCCTTCCTACGGTTCTTTATGGATGCGAAACGTGGCCGCTTACATTAAGGGATGAGCAACGTCTTAAGGTTTTTGAAAATAAAGTATTGCGCAGAATATTCGGACCGAAAAAGGACGAGTCAACCGGAGAATTTAGGCGGTTACACAACGCTGAATTGTGTGAACTGTATCCGGTTAATATAATTGAGATGATTAAGTTGAGGCGAATAAAATGGGCATGTAAAATCGCTGGGCTTAGTAACGAAAGAATTCCTAAAAAGTTAAATGCGCTGTATCGACTGGCAACTGTCCGAGGGGTAGACTAAAGTGAAGGTGGGATGATTGCTTTAAGGCTGATTGTGTGGGGTTATGTTTAGACGGAGCCTAGTGGATGGAAGAATGTGGACATCGATTGGTGTTATCGGCATTGAACCTTCAGGTTCGCTAAGCCTTATTATTATTATTGTAATAGATTGTATGACTAAAGGATATTTAATTGATTATGAGCAAAATATGATATATTGAACTAATAGCTCTATTTTAAATTAGATCCATGCAGACAGACGTATGTTTTTTTAATTCTTCTGCAATGAAATTATTGTTTGAATGCAATTTTTTTGCCATGGGCTCATAGAAGACAGAAAATTATGAATAAGCCTTGCTATAGTCTATGACAGTCCATTTTCATTCTTATGGCTTTGTTGAAGAAAAGATATGTTAGTACTTTACACCCACAAGATTTATCCATAAACAAAGTAATTTTAATGTCTCTAAAGGTTTAAAATAGTAATATAATTTTAATCTTTACTACTCATGGGCTTACCCAAATTATGGAGGTTTTGGTTTAATTGTAGTAAAAATAGGGACCACAATACAAACTTTTGATTTTTACATTGCTGATCCTATATTTCAGCTTCTTAGCTATATATATATAGGTAGAAAATAATAGAGCTAAAAAAAATTAATGATTAATTAAAGTGAGCCAATGGGTACATTAATTTTTTGTGTAATATTGATAAAATATATTAGTCAATATTTATATTAATGACTTTAGATTAATTTTTTACTATTATTTTTTCATTTTTTATTTTCAGGCAGGGGTATGGAAAACCTATTGATTGGTGGTCTATGGGAGTTATTTTGTATGAGTTTCTAGTTGGATGTGTACCTTTTTTTGGTGAAACACCTGAAGAATTGTTTGCACACACTGTCAATGGTATTTCAGTTTGTTTCCTTTTTATTGTTTTATATTATTTTAAACATTGTTCTTTATTCTGTTAATAAATACCTTTTTAATTTACCAATAACAATTTGAAGATATATAGCATTTCCAAGTCAATTTCAACCTTTTCCAAGTCAAATTCAACCTTTTCCAAATCAAATTAAACTTTTTCCAAGTCAAATTCAACCTTTTCCATTTCAAATTAAACCTTTTCAATTTCAAATTCAACCTTTTTTTATTTATTTAATTATCTTTAATTTTTCGATGTGTGGGTCTGTTATCGTATGAGTAGTTTTTGAAAATAACCTCCTTTTTAAGATTACGTGACTGAGTTTCGAATTATTTAAGTTTTTTTGAATTATTCGATATAAGGGTGTATTTTTATGTTTCTCGATCAGTAAATTTTGAAAATGACTTCCATTTTATGTTTACGCTACTGTGTTTTGATTTATTTAAGTTTTTAGAATTTATCCAATATAAAGGTCTACTTTTATGTTTCTGGAGCCGTAGATTTTGAAAACAACCTCCATTTTAAGATTAGGCCACCGCGTTTTGACTTATTTGAGTTTTTCGGATATTTTTCATATGAGGGTGTATTTTTATGTTTCCGGAGCTGTAGATTTTGAAAACGACCTCCATTTTAAGATTAGGCCACCTCGTTTTGACTTATTTAAGTTTTTCGGATATTTTTCATATGAGGGTGTATTTTTATGTTTCCGGAGCTGTAGATTTTGAAAACGACCTCCATTTTAAGATTAGGCCAAAGCGTTTTGACTTATTTGAGTTTTTCGGATATTTTTCATATGAGGGTGTATTTTTATGTTTCCGGAGCTGTAGATTTTGAAAATGACCTCCATTTTAAGATTACGCCACTGCGTTTCGACTTATTTAAGTTTTTTTGATTTATTCGATGTAAGGGTGTATTTTTATGTTTCCGGAGCTGTAGATTTGGAAAATGACCTCCATTTTAAGATTACGCCACTGCGTTTCGGCTTATTCAAGTTTTTAGAATTTATCCAATATTAAGGTCTACTTTCATGTTTCTTGAGCCGTAGATTTTGAAAATAACCTCCATTTCATGATTACGCCATTGCATTTTGACTTGTTTAAGTTTTTCGAATTTATCCAATTTAAAGGTCTACTTTTATGTTTTCGGAACCGTAGATTCTGAAAATGACCTCTATTTTATGATTACGCCACTGCGTTTTAACTTATTTAAGTTTTTAGAATTTAACAAGTATAAAGGTCTACTTTTATGTTTCTGGAGCAGTAGATTTCCCCCATTTTGTAAATGACCCAATTTCAAGTTTATGCCGCTGTGTTTTGGATTATAAAAGTTTTTTTTTTTACTTTTTCGGTATAAGGATCTACTTATATGTTATCCGAGACGTATTGAAATTTTTCCTAATCTTTAATATTTAAATTTATCTAATATTTAAGCTCCATTTTATGATTAAGCCGCTGCATCTCGATTAATTGGGCTTCATTTTGGATTTTTTCAATACAAAGTTTCATCAATATGTTTTCGAGTATGAATAAATAAATAAATATTATGAAGCTAAAGTTAAATTAACCACAGAATACAAACTAAAAAGCCGAAAAGCAGCTGGTAATAAATTTAACCTTCCGTATTCAGATTTTTCAGCTCATATAACAGCTTGTTCGAAATCATATAATTTTGTGACAGGAGGCCACAACATTAGAAAAGATAACTAAAATTAAATTAAAAATGAGACAATATATATTTTATTTATTTTGATTAGATATTTTTATTTATTTATTGAAAAATAAATTAGTCCTTCGTATTTTGTGTTTTATTCGAAGGAAAAATCAAAAACACTTAACAAAACCGAAACACAGTGGCCTAATCTTAAAATGTAAGTCGTTTTAAAAACCAAGGCTCCGGCATCATAAAAGTAGATCTTTAAATTGGATAAATTCGAAAAACTTGAATAAGCCGAAACGTAGTGGCGTAATCTTAAAATGGAGGTCATTTTCAAAATCTACAGCTCCGGAAACATAAAAATACACCCTTACAACGAATAAATCAAAAAAACTTAAATAAGTCGAAACGCAGTGGCGTAATCTTAAAATGGAGGTCATTTTCAAAATCTACAGCTCTGGAAACATAAAAATACACCCTCATATGAAAAATATCCGAAAAATTCAAATAAGTCAAAACGCGGTGGCCTAATCTTAAAATGGAGGTCGTTTTCAAAATCTACAGCTCCGGAAACATAAAAATACACCCTCATATGAAAAATATCCGAAAAACTCAAATAAGTCGAAACGCGGTGGCCTAATCTTAAAATGGAGGTCGTTTTCAAAATCTACGGCTCCAGAAACATAAAAGTAGACCTTTATATTGGATAAATTCTAAAAACTTAAATAAGTCAAAACACAGTGGCGTAAACATAAAATGGATGTCATTTTCAAAATTTACTGATCGGGAAACATAAAAATACACCCTTATATCGAATAAGTCAAAAAAACTTAAATGATTCGAAACGCAGTCACTTAATCTTAAAATGGGGGTTATTTTCAAAACTAGGTACAGGACAGCATAATACTAGTCCCTAATAAATCCGAATAGGTACAATAAATCGATATCCGTAAGTGAAAATTCTACTTAGGAGAGCATAATAATAGACTTTCATATTGGAGGGGGGGAGGGGATGGCCATTATTTAAAAAAAATATATAAGATTTACAAAAAATTAAAACATTAATTTGAAATGAAAACGGTTGAATTTGAATTGGAAAAGGTTTAATTTGAAATGGAAATGGTTGAATTTGACTTGGAAAAAGTTTAATTTGATCTGGAAAAGGTTGAATTTGACTTGGAAAAGGTTGAATTTGACTTGGAAATGACATAGAAATATCACACTGAAAAAATCTAAAATGTTAAAATAAATGGATATGCAACCGCGTTATCAAATTTTTTTTTGTATTTTTCAAAAGCTATGCCTTCGATAATATAGTAAGTGGCCTTCATTTCGAAAAAAATCGAAAATTGACAAAAATTCGAAAGTTGAATTTGAAATGGAAAAGGTTGAATTTGACTTGGAAAAGGTTGAATTTGAAATGGAAAAGGTTTAATTTGACTTGGAAAAGGTTGAATTTGATTTGGAAAAGGTTGAAATTGACTTGGAAATGCTATATATCCAATAGAAATTTAAATATTTGCTAGATAGGAAGATTGTTAGTAGAGGATAACAAAAAAAGGTGATTTAAGTATTTAAAAATTATTTTCAGTATTTTTTTTCCTATTGTAAGCCCATGAATAAGTTGTATGGAAAAGTATTTAATAAACATTTATGTTTCATGCAAGTTATATTATATATTATGTAATTAATCAAATACTTATGATTATTTTAAGATTTTAAATCACTGAAATGAAATTGTTATAATTATTTTGTATATGATTGGTCTTGGTATCGTTTGCAGTTTTCTTAGGGGGCTTGTTAACAGTTTAGAACATTGTTAGTTTTTTAATAATATGAAAGACGCCTATTATTGGGTTGTCCGGTAAATAATGCAGACTTTGGTTTAAAAAGAAAAATTTACAACTGTTTTATTAAATCAAAATACACTACTATCAATACATTTCTGCCAATGTGTTGGCAACTTTTCCGTTCACATTTGAATTGATAAACAGAATCTTAAGGATTGATAAACTCCAAAAACACATTTTCTGATTCCCTTTGTCCATTAAATTTTTTGTCACGTAAGTAGTGGTCCAGGTGTCTAAAAAATGATAATCCGTAGGCGAGAGGTCCGGAGAGTGGGACGAATGTGGCATCCCAGCAGAGTTTCATTTCCAAGTTCCAACAGTTTTTGTGAAGTCACACGTGAGACATGTGGCCGAGGGTTGTCATGCAACAAAATAGGCCCCTTCCGATTGACCAAGATGGCTTCATTATTGCCAATTTCTGATGTATTGCATTAATTTGGTTCCAATATAATTCGGTATTAATGGTTTCTCCAGGATTTAGGAAGCTGTAGTGTATCAAACCAAATGAAGCCCACCAAACAGTAACCATCACCTTTTTTTTATGAGTTGGGGGCTTTGGAAAATGTTCTGCTGCTTCTTCTTTTCCGAGTCACTATCCTGAACTTCTACTGTTATTGTAAAGTTTCCACTTTTCATCACAAGTAACAATGCTGGACGGAAGCGGGTAGTTTTTGTATCGGCAGCACAAACTTCATAATGCTGGTTTTTTTGGCAGTCGTTTATTGTGTGTGGAACCAAACTTTCAAGCTCTTTTACCATTCCAATCACCTTGAGGTGGTCATCAGTCATCGATTTGCTAAGGTTAAGTTTCTATGCAAGTTATCAAACAGTTGTTCTGGGGTTTTCTTCCACGAAAGCCCACCGAACATCGTCATAAAGATAGGAAGTCCTTCCATGAGCGTCTTTGTCTTGGAAGCTGAAGTCTACCTCCCAGAATTTTTTGAATAACCGTTAAACAATGCACTCATTGTTGCTCTCACTCTCGCCCCAGACTTGATAGAAGTTTCTGGCCGTCTGGACCCCATTCCGCCAGAGTTTAAAGTCGTAAAACAAAATTATGAAAATCACATGTTGACATCTTAATAAAGACTGAATTATTTCTATGCAGGGAAATGCTACAGATGTAAACAAACATTATTGTTTGGAATAGGATTAATAAGTGTTGACATTCATACAATTGAATAATCCAGTGAACGTAAACAGTTTGTTAAATAGAATGGTACTTTAAAGAAAACTCAAAGCCCCAATAATAATGAGTTTATTATGTTGCTTTGATAGATAAGATAGAAAAAGATCCATTTTTGTACCACTTCCTGAGAACATATTGCTAAATGTTGTCTATACATTTGTCCTCTAAAATGTAAATTGTTATGATTAGGGACCACATTTTTATGTACTTACTTTTTTTTTCTAAACATTATATACCCTTCTTGAACAGTTCATTTTATATTTCATGTAAAATAAAACATCTTTTACTTTACATATTTGAGGGATATTATAAATTGGGAGTACATTTAATCTATTATTGTCCACATTTAATCAACCAAGAAAATTCATATTGAAAAAAAAATATTGATAACAAATTGAAGACAAGTATTTTATCATGTAAACGAGGAATTCAGTGAATTTTGGGGTAGGAAATGAATTTGAGAAACTTGAGAACCTACTTTAAACCGTAAAAGAGTGATAAAACATTTTACTCCAAAAGTTTCTGAAATTGAAAATCAATACAATACCTTTTTATTGATATTTTATGGAACAATGTTGTTTGAGAACAATGGAATTTGAGAAAGAAAAATAATATTGTGACTAAATTTCAACATTTGCAAAAGATAAGTGTACAGTTGAAATTCAAAACAGATAAAAAAAATAAAATCTCTGTGTACTAAATTTGTTTATTGTAATTTTTTAAATTAATGTTCTAGAAACTTTTTTTTAACTATTGAAATTTTTAGGAAATTTCGTTCTAACTATTGTCATTATTGCCTATTAAATTTATTAAAAGTTATTTTTTTAGCACCAATACTGCAGTATAGTAACCCTAGTACCAATCTGCTTTCATTAATATGTCCTCAGAGCTATGTATATACTTATGTATAACTACTTCCTATCTTTTTTCTGAGTACTTGTTTTACAATGAAGATCTGGTCTAGTGTACTTCTTCCTTATCTGAATACAGCTTGGTGGTTGCCTATTATATTTTCGTAATACGGATATATCTGGTTTAGTAGGATATTGATCATTATCTTGTAGGCAACCGGAAGGAGTGCTATGCCTTTGTAATTAATACACTCTTACATTCAGCTTTTCATTAGGATAGGACAGATTAAGCCCATATTCCAAGCCTCAGGTATCCTTTCCTCTTCCCATACTTCTGGATTAGTTGTAGTAGCTTGGCTCTTAAGTTGTCTCCCCATCTTTAAACAGTTCTGATGATAGCTTGTCTATCCCTGGGACATTTCTTGTTTTGAGCCTTTCAATAACTATTTATATATCCAGTATATCTGATTTTCTAACCCGAAGTATATACACTGACAGGCGAAAAATTCCACCCACTTGATTTTTTCATGTTTTCATCTAAAAATATTTCTGCTTTGGATTGGTCGATTGTTTTTAATGAATAAATAGGTAATCTTTTAGTTTGTTTTCAATTAGGAATGTTAATATAGAGGACAATAACCCTTAATCCTTAATTCAATGAAATGATTCTAGATTCCAGTGTTTACTTTCTATGGAATCAAAATGTTTATTCAGTATCATTAGTTCAGTGCCGTTTTTTGCAGCACATTTCTTAGTCTCCGGCTTTTAATTTTTTCAATATTAAGTTTAAAAATGCCTCTTAGTGCTGAGGATGTTGCGCGTGGTGTGGCACTTATTGATGATGGACATTCCATTAGATATGCAGCTAATGTCATCAGAGTTCCATATGAAACTTACGAGACGCTGCCAGGCGTTTTCGGGAAACTGGTTCTTACAATAGAAGGCCCGGTTCTGGACGGCCTAGGGTAACAGAACCACGGGATGACCGGTTTTTTACTTTGAGAATTTTATGAAACCGGCACTTTACCATTGTTCAAGCGATTCATCAGCTCGAAGAAGTTCGAGGTGTGAAAATTTCTGAATATACCACTCGGAGAAGATTAAATGAGTATGGATTAATGGCTTTTCATCCAGTAAGAGGACCAGAGTTGACCAGAACTCACAGAGTAACACGGCTGGCTTTTGCTCGAGAACACAGCCATTGGACTATGGACGAATGGAGTGCTGTAATTTTTACAGATGACTCAGGATTCGCTCTTCGATCTCCAGACGGGCTTGAAAGGGTGTGGAGAAGAAGAAACGAAAGATATGCAGCCTGTAATTTTTCCCAGAGCCAACCTTTCCAACGTGGTTCCTTAATGGTGTGGGCTGGGATTTCAATGGAGTGCCGCACAGAATTGGTTGTTGTTCGTGGAGGGTCTTTGACGGCTATTCGCTATGTAGATGAGATTTTGGAACCTCATGTGTTGCCTATCCTCAACAAAATCGGCGATCGTTCTATTCTAATGCATGTCCCTTCAACAGAACAATATTGAAGTTTTAGCCTGGCCAGCATGTTCTCCAGATTTGAATCCCATTGAGCATTTATGGGATAATCTCGGAAGACGAATAAGAGTGCGTGCAACACTTCCTGATACACTGCAGGACCTTGAAAGGGCTCTTCGGGAGGAATGGGCTATCCTCCAGCAAAGATATACTAAGAGGCATTTTTAAACTTAATATTGAAAAAATTAAAAGCCGGAGACTAAGAAATATGCTGCAAGAAACAGCACTGAACTAATGATACTGAATAAACATTTTGATTCCATAGAAAGTAAACATTGGAATCTAGAATCATTTCATTGAATTAAGGATTAAGGGTTATTGTCCTCTATATTGACATTCCTAATTGAAAACAAACTAAAAGATTACCTATTTATTCATTAAAAACAATAGACCAATCCAAAGTAGAAATATTTTTAGATGAAAACATGAAAAAATCAACTGGGTGGAATTTTTTGCCTGTCAGTGTATATATATGTGTCCTGATTTTTTCTTAATCAAATTTCAGGATTTCTATTTTGAATATTGGGTCTATAAGTTCATTTGGTTTTTAAAGGGTGAAATAAAACTAGTTTATTTTTCATACTAAGAATAAATTTTATTCAATAATATATTGGCCATTTTATTAATGACCTTTTGCCACCTTTCTAACAATTTCATTATTCCACTCTCATAAAACATCTGGAGCTTAGATCAAACTGATCAAGATATGTTTTCAGATCTCTCCCATCAGCGAACGATTTCCCATTGAGGGAGTTTTGGAGGGACCTGAATAAGTGCTAGTCTGAGGGTGCAAGGTCCGGAGAATACGTTGGGTGTAATAAAACATCCCAGCCAAGTTGCACCTTTGCGATTGACTAGTTCTGGACATTTCTGTTGCAATACTTGGTCCAATTTCATTAGCTGCATGCATTAGATCTTCAAATCAATCGTTTTTGCTTGTGGAGTCAACTCATAAAACAGCAACCCGTAATATCCCCACCAAATAGAGAGTAAAATTCATCGAGGCGGGACACATAGCCAAGCTGTTTTAAATGCCTTTAAATGGTCCCAAAACCTATTTTCAGTGTCTATGCAATTTCTCATACCTCTAGCGACTGGAGTCGTTCAATTAGAGTCTTGATATCTCTTGAATCAACCTCAGTGGGCTGATTGCTGCAGGGTGCATCTTCGAGAGTTGTATCTCCGGAATGAAACTTGGTGAACTATTTTTGAGCAGTATGTTCTGTTAAGGCATCATCCCCGTATTCCTTACATATCTTTTGATGGTCCTTTAAAGCTCGCTTGCCATTTTTTAAATAAAAAATCAAAATATGCCGAAAATGCACTTTTATCATTGGATATATTCACTATACTAACAAAACTAATGCCAATGAAACCAAACAAAAACAATAGTTTCAAAGAGCAGACTTTGATCTTTCCGATAAGTAATGAATGAAGTTTAAGATTGATAAAAAAAAAATTAATTTTCAAATAAGGTTAATTTTTTTGCAGATGATATAGAGTGGCCTGATGATGATGACTGGCCTGTTCAGGAGGAAGCAAAAGATATTATTAGCTCATTACTTCAACAAAATCCTCGTGATAGATTAGGTACTGGAGGCCCTCATGAAGTTAAAGAACATCCTTATTTCCTTGGTGTGGACTGGAATTCTCTTCTTCGACAAAAAGCTGAATTTGTTCCTCAACTTGAAAATGATGAAGATACTAGCTACTTTGATAGTAAGTATTTCTAATAGTCTTAGTAAGTAAGTAGGTGATAAATAGGGCTCAGATTTAAAGGATTTTTCAGTTTTTTTTTTTTTTTTTGTGGGAAAACCAAGTTCACAAGACATCGATGCCAATCTTGGATATTAGATTTAAAATAAAATCCCTTAGGATCTTTGTTTATCTTTTTTGCACTAAAATATGTGTGATTTTACACCAAAAAACAAATCTGTTTTGAAATGTGTCATAAAAAAAGTTCTATTCTTGGTTCTTTAGAGTTAGATTCAATTCAATATATTCACAAATTATTATTTATATGTCTGCGCTAAATTAAATATGCAGTTAGATCAATTTAATTCAAACTAAAAAAAAAGAAAGGAAAATAATGAATAAAATGCTCATAATAACCAGATATTTTTTAAAGAAAATATTAGTACGGAAAGAAAACAAAATTTGCAGTTCAAGTGTTAGAAAGCTATCAATTTATTATTTTGATTCACAGTAATATTTGCTATTCATTATTCATTTGATCCGATTTATGCTTCCAAAAATACTTACATTCCCTATAACATTGGACTTTATCTCTATCAATTTTTGTCTTTGATGAAAGAGTGATAGGTATTTTTGTAATTAGCAGTGGTCATTGCTGATTCTTATTCTATAAAATTCCGAAATATTTGTTAAAGACGTGTATTGTGGAATAAAAGAAACTTCCTAACTAGAACTAGAACATGTTACAAAATGGTTATTTTATTGTTTATTTAATTTTATATTCTTACAGCTCTAAATTTAAGTTTGTAGAAGTACTTCAATAACTTCTAACATATATCAGTGCAGTTTGCACTGTTATATCGTTAGCTGCAAAATTAAGTATTTTTCTGTCCCCTGAATTAGTAAATATGGGTTATACTATAAAGGGTGTCTCAGTTCTTCATAGAACTGTTAATTACCAGCTGAAGCAACTGTTAATTACCTAAATTAAATAATTTTTGTGTTATTGCTTTCCATGAAAGGGAAAATGTTACTTGTTATTAATTAGTAACAAATCAGTTACCACCATAAGAAAACACAAAATTGGACTAACTCCTTTTTTGTTCAAAATCAGCCCATGCATCAAATGAAATTTTTTTGTTGGTTATCTTGTCTAGAATCACCTCCCAGAGTTTGAATATTAAGAACTGAGACACCCTTTATAGTATAACCCATATTTACTAATTCAGGGGACAGGAAAATACTTAATTTTGCAGCTAACGATATAACAGTGCAAACTGAACTGAGATATGTTAGAAGTTACTGAAGTATTTCTACAAACTTAAATTTAGAGCTGTAAGAATATAAAATTAAATAAACAATAAAATAACCATTTTATAACATGTTCTAGTTCTAGTTAGGAAGTTTCTTTTATTCAACAATCCATGTCTTAAATAATATTTCAGCATTTTATAGAATAAGAATAAGCAATGACCACTGCTAATTAAAAAAATACCTATCACTCTTTCATTAAAGACAAAAATTGATAGAGATAAAGTCCAATGTTAGAGGGAATGTAAGTATTTTTGGAAGCGTAAATCGGATCAAATGAATAATGAATAGCAAATATTTCTGTGAATCAAAATATTAAATTGATAGCTTTCTAACTCTTGAACTGCAAATTTTGTTTTCTTTCCTAGTTGGTCTCTTGACATTCCTTCATTTATTCTAGAAAAATCTGTAATAGCATCCCCTCCTCCCCCCCTCCCTGGTTTCTAAGCTCTTTTAATGCTAACTTGATTTTTTAATTTAAAAATCATAATAATTGGTATCATTTAAGGCTGTGTATTGGTATCATTGGGATTCTACTCTATTTTTTGGTAATGTTAATGTAGCAATGCAGTGTTTATTTAAGTGTACTAGGTATGCCCCTCAAAAAATTTCCCAAATAGTGATAATTTAGTGTCATACAACATAAGCATTGAATTTTAATCTGCTCTGTTTTTGTTAATGGATATTATTTATATTGTTCTCTATTGTACTTAAAGTAGTCTTGATTTATAGAATTTATTACATATTTTTTGTGTACTGACATAAATTATTATAATATTTCACTTAGTGCTGTCTTATGTATTTTTTATATATTATTTTTATTCTATAAACAATATATACAATAATAATATTGTATATAGAATAACAAGTTGAATTTGAATGCAGAAAAGACGAAGGCAATCTTAATAGGCTCCAATCTCCTCCTTAAAACTATTCCTAATAATCCAACTCTGTTTCTATATGACAATCCCTTGAAATTCTATATTTCAATCAAAAACCTTGGAATGATCTTTGATCAAACGCTTTCCTGAAAAAATCATATATCCAAAATCTCCTGCCGTGCCATTTCCCACTTTGACTATTGCTGTACGGTATATAGGGGCGTCTCTGGGGATTTCGAGGCAAAATTGAAACGTTTCATAAATTGCTTTGTACGATTCATCTTCGGGATCCCAGGGGACGCCTCTGTTTTCCTTTTTTATGCAAAGTTGAAGTGGCTTTATCCTTCCTACCATCGTAAGTATTTCCTGGCATCCTTCCTTTTTCAAGTCATCCAATCCCACCGTCCTTCATACATCTCCGAGCTCCTTCAATTCAAATCCTCTGTTCGTTCCTGCAATACTCGTTCACAGTCTTCTGATTTATACGTAAGGGCCCATCGAACTGATGCTTTCGACAGATCTTTCATTATCCGATCCTCATCCCTATGGAACTCCATCCCTCCCGACATCCGTCAATCCAAAACCCTTCCTACCTTTAAAACCCGCCTGTTCAATCATTTCTTATCCTTCCAGTCCCTATGAAATTGTAAATAGTTACAACTTTAAATATGTATATAAATTATCAGATCGTTCTTCATTATTTTTACTTCATGTTTATTTTCAATTTTTCATTATTTTCTTATTAACTGTTTTAAATTAGAAAATAACTTATATAATTTCTTTTATTATTTTTTTTATTTTGACTATTCACTTACTCTATATTTTTGTTTTTGTATCTCTGAGGCTCCTTAGCCCACATTTTTGTCTTTTTGTATTATTCTAAAGGGGCTCGTCCCAGAATAAATAAAGTATTATTATTATTATTATTATTATTATAAGAAGTCTTCCTTTAGTTTAAATCAATCACTGTTATGATTTTCTTGGTTATTGGTCACTAATTTAAACTGTTACCTTAATTCATTAGAGTTCATATGCATGTATTTATATCTAATATTTTTTTTAAAAATCGATATTCTTTTTTTAATTAATGTGGACTATAGAAATCATTTTACTTATTTTATATTTAAGCCATTAATGTTTTTAAATTAATTTCAGGTCGTGTTGATAGATATAGTCATGAACTTAGTGGAGACGAGACTGAAGATACAGTATTATTAGGTGGTTTTTCATCATGTTCTCCGCAATATCGAAAAGTACAATCTAAATTATCACTGGCATCGCCAAATCCCTCTATGGAAGGAATCTCTCCCAAGAATATTGCTAAAAAAATAATCTTTAATAATATCAACAATGATAATTTACATCCTATAGGTATTAAAATATATATTTGTATCCATTAACTTTCATTGCATTACTAATTCTGTTGCATGTGTTAACTGTTGAATTATTGCTGGGATTGAATAATATTTACTGGATTGGAAGCCCGCAACAAATAAATAAACAATTACTTTTTCTTTTACTTATTTCTTTACTTTATTTTACTTTCTGTGTTCATTTAAAGAGGAAAATTTGGTTATTGGTGGTTTGTGGTGTCCACTAGAGAGCCTGTGCTTGTTTATAAATGGTTTTATAAGTTTTTGTGTTTAATGATATATACAAATATCAAATTTCTCAAATAGCAATTAAGTTATTTAATAGTAAATATAACTATTTTAAATCTATCTGACTTTTGTATACAAAGGAGGTCAAAGTCCTTATGAAGAAAGTACTAAAAATTTATAAAACTAAACATATAATTACAAAAATAGGTCTATGCTTACAATTACTAGTACTGGTGTGTGGGTAGTGAGAGAACTAGTCAAGCAGTGAGCCAGTTGATTTTTATTTTTTTTATTTTGCCAACTCATGATAACTACCTTGGGGTAGTTGGCAAGTCCTGACATAAATGGGAGTGACAGGATTCATTTTGTGGTTTCCTAAAAAAAAAAAATGTTAACTGACCCAGGTGAGATTTGAACCCATAAGACTCTGAACTGGTTGTCTTTAGACCCTCATCCTAACATGCTTGGACATCATGGCCTCAATGCTTATAGATATTAATAACTTCACCCTTTTAGAGATAAAATTTATATAATAGCTACCATCAGTTAATGGAACCAAGTAAAAACCTGGCAAGCAACAGAACATAAACCTAATGTGTAAGATGTATACTACATTGTAAAAAAAGTCCTTGTGCATGAACACAACCCTTAATTCCAACTCTCATAATTAATCCTATAAGAACTTATTTGTTCCTACTATTTATGTCAGTGTGTTCTTCGATTAATCCTTTAATCCCTTGTAACTTGAGTTGACTTTATAGTCATTTACATTTTGAAAATGCACTTGCAATGAAAGAAGAAAAAAATCATGATTCGTTGTCATTTGAGACATTATTTGAAAAAAAGGTCTAAGCGCAAAGGCAGCAGCCAAAGGAAATTGTTTCATAGAAGGAGAATCAGTTATCCTTCGAAATACTGATGCACTTTGGTTTAGGTGTTTCAACAATGAAAATGTGAGCATTGCTGATGAAATGATAACCGATCAGTTGTTGATGACGTTCTTATATGTTTGAACCAGGACCCATATGTAACTACTTGTGGTTTATCACCATAGTAGGGGCTTCTAATGCCACAGTGGCTCGTCATCTTAAAAACCTGGGTGTACAAAATTAAAGATCAAGATCTTTAGGGCAGAGGCACAAGCCCAGTAGCGTGTTGATATTATCAAAATTTTGGTTCATAATCCAAAAGAAGATAGGTTCTGGAAAAAAATTACACAAGTGATGAAAAGTGGAAATTTAAAAAAAAATAATCCTAGCAAATATAAGTAGTGGATACGGCCTGGTGAAACGGCACAATTGGAGATTCCCCAAGATTGGTTTGAGATAAAAGTGATGCTTTGTGTTTGGTAGAACTTCCAAGGCGTTTTTTTTAGCTTGTTCCTGATGGTCAGGCAGTGGACTCAAACCTTTACTGTGAATAGCTTTACATAGTTTATGCAGTTTTGAGTTCCAAGTACCCCACTTTGGTCAACAGGAATCAAACAATTTCCAATATGACAATGCCCTTGCACATCATTCTCGTTTGAGCTAGGAAAAATGATAGAAACTGTAAATGCTTAACGTTTTGCCTCATCCTGCATATAGCCCAGATATTACACCATCAAATTATGGTTTGTTTAGATCAATGGCTCATTTTTTAATAGGTCAGATCTTTGATAAGCACGAGGACTTATAAAATTTTGACTAATAGATGTGTTTTTTTAAAGTAAGAAACCCTTGGCATGTCCATCTCACTTCCTGGGTAGCAGCTATGTCGATCTTATAGAAGTCTAATTGTGTGAGGAGCTGATGTAAAGCTCCCTATATATTTAATTATAGAACATTCCATTGGTAGGGGGTTAGTTCTTACCCTCCACACAGCATTACTATTTATAGGACAAAATATTTTTCGCAAGTAAATAATTCATTTTAAATCGAAGGAGAAGGAATTCTTGTAGTAAAGTACTTTCATGGTACAAGATTGTAGAGATATACCATAGTAATTATTGCAGTCAAGTACATCACCTTTCCTGTCTATTGGACATATTAAGTGTCTTGTACCATTCAGATAGCATTTCTTAGGTCTGCCATATGTCTAGTACTATATTGTAGAAGAACCTTCTTAACTCTTCACTCCTATACTTTGACAGTTCACCTGGAAGCTCATCCACACCAGGAGGCTTATTATTCTATATTTCTTTCATCCCTTCTGCTCTTGTTGAGATGTGATCTGCAAATCTAATTACTATTTGGGGAAGTGTATTGTTAGACAAAAACTTGACACAACTCCAAGAGGCATCAGAATCTGCAGAAAGAAGCGTGCTTTAGATATATTTTAAGATGAAGAGAAATTTGTGCAATATGAGAGCAATAACCTACAACCTCCACTTTCTCAACTGAAGTGAAGATAATAATGTAGACAATGGTTGGACAAGTAAAAAAAAAAAAAAAATCATATATAAACATATAGATTATATTTTATATTATAGATACTAGAATATATTATGTAGATACGGTGAACTATAGCATGCCTATGCAAGTATTGGATAGATGTAAAAAAAAAAAGAATAAATACCATCTTGCAATATATCTGAGATTTACTAGAGTGAATAGACAAAGTGTTAAAAAATTTGATGAGATAAGAAAATGTGTTAAATGAGGAAATTCTTGAAATTAATAAAAAAATTAAAATGTTATTAAAGTAATTTAAAATTGATGTAATAAGCATCAAATTATACAGTTTATTTAATTTTTTATATCGAATTATAAGATTTATTTAATGCACTTATATCTTTTTTTAATTATTTGTTTATTTAATGCACTTATTATATATTTTTGTCATTATATAAATCATTAGAGTTTATTTTATTTAAGCTTCATGCCATTAATATTGTATTAGCTGTTTATTTTAGAAGAGGAAAACAAAAGTATAATCTTTCTTAATTATATCTTGATATAAATTTAATATTAAATAATTAAAATAATTGCTGCTTGTTTATAGAAGTTTAAAAAACTGTTTTTAATTCATTGTTTATAATCAATTAATTTGACAAAAGATGAACATTTAAACTTTTTTTTTAGGCTTAGAAGAACCACTAGAGATAGAAGCTGTTGAAGAAACTGAGCCTTTTCAAGGTCATCCTACTACTCCAGATTCTTCACAAACTGAAAGTGATGATGTTTCTCCACAAATACAAAGAAAAAGACGACTTCAGAACCGTGATTCTGTTCCAAAATTTTCTATATCTGTAGAAGATGAACATACTGTGCAAGTGTTTTATATATATATATTTTTCATTTTGAAATACTTTAGTTATGATCTTCATAAGGCCTCTAATAAGATTTAGGTATATTTAGTTGGGAATGGGGTATAAGCATGTTTTTATGCTTTGTTTAGATGAAAACTTGATTTTTCTGTGATCATCAGTTCCAAAGGTTATAATTTTTATTTGTGATATCAGGCTTACTGATAAGAACAGGGTGTTTGACGGCTGAGACTGGTATGATGTCACGCCTTCCAAAGCTATGTTTACATTCCGTTATTCACCAGTGTTGTGAATTATCTTATATTTAAAAAATGTTGAAAAGAAATTTAGCGATAGTATTGAGTATCATATAGGTAAAGATACATTCCACACAATGTATTGAAAAAAAGGTTGTAATTTGAAGCAGGGCTTGATATGAAATTTTAACTTTTATGTTTAATCAGTTTTGTAGTACCGGAATTGTTATTTTCAATTTTTTCCTCATTATTTCAAATCTAGAACTTGTTTCCTTGCAATTTTTCTGTAAAGGTTTTACAGAACTTTTGATTTTACTTTCACTTACCTGTATAATAAGGGTAAGTATTGCCATTGTAAAAAATTTTGAATCTGAGTTTTCAATGGAAGTATATGTTTTGAGGTCCCCTTTGTCCAAATACCAAGTCCCACAAACTGGTGTGTGTCTGTGTGTTTGCGTGCGTGCTAGCCTGTGTGTGTGTGTGTTTTTGTAAATATCTACTTTAGCTTCATAAATATCTACTTATACTCAAAAACATATTGAGGAAATTTTGTATTGAAGAAATTCAAAATAAATAAATCGAGAGGCAGTGGCGTAATCTTAAAATGGAGATTATTTTCAAATGCATTGCCGCCGAAAACATATAAATAGATCCTTACATTGAAGAAATCCCAAATACTTAAAGAAATCAAATGCAGTGATGTAGTCTTGAAATGGAGATTATTTTCAAAACTATGACTCTGAAAACTTATAAACAGACCCTTATATTTAAAAAATCTGAAAAACTTAAATAAATCAAAACATAGTGGCATAATCTTAAAATAAAGGTTATTTTCAAAAAGTACACATATGATAACATATTAAGAGCCCTTACATCGAAGAAATCCGAAGAACTTAAGTAAATCTAGACACAATAAGTAAATCTAGACACAATGGCGTAATTTCAAAATGGAGATTATTTTCAAAACTATACTTCCATTAATATTTATGTAGACACTTATATCAAAAAAATTCCGAAAAACTTAAATAAATCAAAACATAGAGACGTAATAATACTGTCTAATTTGAGATTGAGCATCAAGTTTATGTAACTTTTTTTAATTATTAGATATACAGATCCACTATTTTCTAGTCGTCGGAGCTTTTTATGAATATACTGTCGGATTTAAAATTGTTCGTCGATTTTTTTTGTAGATTTTTGGATTTCTTAGATATAAGAGTCCACTATTATGTTGTCAAGGACGCTTTTTATGAAAATGATGTCAGATTAAAGATTGCCTGAGAAAAGTGTACAATATTAATAAATAAAATGTATCTATCAATCATTGTATAGACAAATATTTATTAAAAAATGTCCAATCCCAACGAGACTCGTAGATCAGCGAGTTGGTTAACTGTTAACTTAAAATTTATTTTTTCTTGAATAAATAATCAATAATTATTGATTTTTGCAAAACAAGTGAAAATGTTATTCTATATTCCATTATTCTTAGAGGTCTGAATGTTCTACAATAAAATTTACTTTTTTTATTTCTAAATACATCGATAACGTGTCAAAGACCCTTCGACATTAGCCTCAGAGAACAGCAATCAACTGTTAATGCTTTAACTTGTTTGACACCAGCAACTTGAGTTGTTAATATTGATTTGCATTTTACTCATTTTATGTTAAACTTTAATTCTTGACTTAAATTAGTAATTTCTGTTTGTTTATAGATTTCACAGAACTGGCGACACTTCACCTTTAACAAGTAAACCTAAAAAGCTGATTGGAGATCATCCTCTTCAAGGTTCAGGACCAATTCGGGTAGCCATTGGATCAGTGTTTTCTGGTTCAAAACATCCTTCAAGAGCTGTTATCAAAAGTTTCAGTGCTTCTGGCTTATCACTAATGATTCCCCCTGGAAGAGGTAATTATCAGTATTTGTTAGGGATTGACTGATATTGAAATTTTGGCTTATACCGATATTTTAAAGGCCGATAAGCCTTCATGTCAGCTTTTTTTTTATTTTTGTTAAGGTTCGTACAGTTTCACATGGAATATCCTGTTTATTATTAAATAAACATACGAATTAACCATCTAAGTCTTGGCCTATAAACAAATGTTGGCCAATAAAAGAGTGATAAACCTATATATCAGTCTATCAATCTTTCATTCCTGTTTGTCAAGTTCTGTACGGTGTTGTTTGGAAAATTGCAGAATAAAAGTGTCCATCAATAGGGTTGGATCTATATATAAAATATTGTTGATAGTAATATTCCAAAAATCGATACATCTTTTTTTTCTTTCCTTCAAGTTTCATTAAGTATCAACTGCAATATTTTCCTTAATGCTAATAAATGACGCAATCAAACTCCTGGGAATAGAAATTTTAGCAGTATTGAAATTTCAAAGACTGATATATTGGCCTATGCGTCTTTATTTACTTTCCGTTGAGAATCAAACAGCACACTATATACACCCCCACACTAGAGGTGGTAGAGAAAACAGCAAATGTTTGAAAAGAACAGTTCTCGATCTCAAATGAATGAACTGTTCTTCCAAATGGATAACAACAGTTGTTTTTTCTTTAGTTCATCCATTTGCCACTAGTCGAGTTGCTGTTTGTTCTGTTTTTCGTTTCTTTTATTCCAAACGAAACAAAAGCTCTTTCTCCTTTCCAGTGAACCCATCATTATATCATAAAAATAACCCAACAGTTTATTTATAAGACAAGTTTCAACTGTTAAGTTTAGGGATGTAATTTTTAGCTCCCATTATAATTGAAGGCTAGAAATAAATAAAAACTTACATCATAGTTACTATATTACTAAATTAACTTAAGCATATTTGTAGGAAAAATTAGTTTATGTTTTTAGATGTATATATCTATATTAGTATCTAGCAGGCCGAAAATAATTTTTATGACTGAACATATTCACATCAATCAATTTAATTACATAAATAAAATTAAACACAATTATGTTCTGTAAAAATTGAAAAAGGCAAAAAGTTGAAAAATTTTTTGAACTACAGTTAAAAGACTCATAATGGCCAATCAGCATAATTTCAAACTTCAAACATACAAGAAAGTCAAAATATTATTAAAGTAAAAAATGTTGTATGTGTTAAAAATAATTTTAAGTTTAAATTAATTAAAAAGTAATTTTTAAGATTAAACATTCATGGAATATTAAAAATAAATTCAAAGGTTATCAATTTCAAGCTCAAACAATGCCAAACCTCATATATAAAACGATTCATTCATTTCCAGACTTGTTATTAAACTGATAGGATCCGTTTTTAAATTAATAAGACTGTTATCAAACGAGTAGATATTACTCCATGAATCGTTGTGTTGTTTTTGATCAACAAACAGTTCATTTACATTTTTCAAAAGTAGCAGAAACGCTCACCACTACCCCACACTACAGACAAAGATCGCATGCAGTACAGAAATCTCAGCGATGCAGAAATTTCAAAGATCGATGTATCGGTTTATCTGTCTTTGTTTACTTTCCATCAAGATTTGTACAGTTTAGCTTGGAATATTCTCCTGATTGCTGAATCAACACCTTAATCACCACCCTTCTGATAGACTTCTGTCCTGTTGAAACTTCTTGATAGGTGCCCAAACATTCTCATGCAGCACGGGCTACTCTCCATTGTCATGTGTACAAGTCTTACCAGTTATGGAGGTATCTGCATATTGATCATAGCTTTGTTGACTTCATTCCTGTTTACAGCAGAATCATATGCTTACTGGAAGTCTACAAATAGATGGTGTGTGCTAATTCCATACTCTCTGGTTTTCTTAAGAAGCTGACGGAGAGTGAAGATTTGGTCCGTTGTCGATCTGCCTGATCTGAAACCACTTTCCTATTTTCCTCTTTCATGTTCCACATAGGGGAGTAGCCTCTTAAATAAGACTGAGGACAGCACTTAGTAGGCACGGGGGAGTAGACATATTCTCCTATTGCTCTTGCATTCTAGGGCATCACCCTTCTTGTAAATAGGAAATATGATGGCCTTCCATTCCAAAGGCAACCTTTCCACATTCCAGATGTCCAGAAATAGATACTTTAAAAGAATGATAAGCTCATGGCCAGATGCTTAGAATTTCAGGTGCTATGTCCTCTATGCCTGGGTCCTTGTTATTCTTGAGCTTTGATAGTGCTTCCTGGATCTCCTCTTCATCAGGAAAGTCAATGTGATTTCTACTCAGTGCCTAGTTCTCCAAGTACTCCTCCGGGCACTCGCTTGATGTCCCTTCCTCTGTTTAACAGTGCACTGAAGTAATCAGCTCATCTATCCAGTGCTGTATCCTTATCATTTATAAGAGAACCATCCTCTGCATTGCAAGCTTGTGCTTGGGATTTAAAGGGCTTCCTTCCCTCATTAACAAGCTGGAAGATCTGACAGCTGTTCCTATCATTAAAGGCTATCTCTATCTCATCGAGTGCCTTGCTTTCCCATGCTCTCTTTTTTATTCTCCTCAGATGTGTTTCTTCCCCTATGGAGACATTCATACTCTATAGATGTTCTTGTAAGCTTGCGTGATAGCATTTTTCTGTAAACTTCATCTTTTCTGTCCTTTAGAGTCTTAAATTCCTGGTCAAACCAAGGGTTATGCTTACCTAATTTTTGTTGCCAATCCTAGTATCTCTGCTGCTGAATAAGTGGTGGCTTCCTTACAGCATTTCCATCTAGTGTCAACATCCTCTTCACTATCAATTCTTTGTATCCTGGCTTCTAGGGATTCTCTGTATTTTGTACTTTCTTCAGGGATTTTTAGTTTTAGCATTGAAGCATTTGGGTTTGTTCCGAGGACTGTATTTTACTGTGGGTATCTTCCCTCTTATTTTGGCTACTATTAGGTAATGGTTGGAGTCAATATTAGTGCCTCTGATTGACTGTACACCAAGGAGAGACGACCTGTGCCTTGTTGTTATAAGGACATGATCAATCTGTGATGTGGTAACACGTCAATTTACAACATACTTTATGGACTTCCTTGTAGGGGAAATAAGTCCCTCCAACTGGTAGACCTTTGAATGCAGCAAAGTTGATTCTTCTTTTGCCATTATCATTTGATGATTTGTGCAGGCTGTGGCTTTCAATTATAGGTCGGTATGCAGCTTCTCTCCCAACCTGTGCATTATAGTCATCTACAACAAGCTTTTAAGGTCATACTTAAGACATTTTTCTTAGCATTTTTCAAGTGTCTTGTAGAATGTTTCTTGTTTCTCCTCTGAGACTTCTGCAGGAGCATGAGAGCATATGATGGAATAGTTGCGGTATTTGCTTTTAATTCTAATCATACTTACCCTTTGGTATAAAAAAAAAAAAAAACTGTACCACCACAACACATGAAGGGTCTTGGGTTCAGTACTATTTAGGGAAAGTACTGTTACAAGGCCAAGGGTTGTGCAGGGAGGGGATCGGGCCAGGATCACGCTCAACCGCCAGGTTTTTCGCCTTAATCAATTATTTAATTAAGAGTTCTCACTTTTTAGAGGCTGGGTGTCCTCACCCCAGGGTCGCCCCACAGCCAATGAAACAGAAAATAAATTTTCTGCCATGAGCTGGGATTCGAACCTGGGACCTTCGGCATAGGAAGCTTAGTGCCCTACCACTGAGCTACCCCGCTCCCTTTGGTATTAACCCTATTAATTGGTTTGAACCCTATCACTATTTCTGAAAATCTTTTACCTGTCCCAAATATGTGGAGTCTTTCACCATAGCTGTAGTATATTGCAAAGTGCTTTTTTTTAAAACTACCTTGTCCCATTCTCCTATCTTCTTGAAAAGCAGCAATGTTTATTTTATAATTAGTCAGATTATTCAGGAATACCTGAAGTACTCTGGATCGGTATAATGACAATACATTCCATGTGCCTATTGTGAAGTCCAGTCGACGTTTCCGGTCTAGCTAATCTTTGTTGAGCATTTTTGATTTGGTGGTTTAGGTAAGATGAGTTATCAGCCCAATTCTCTGAGTCAGATGGTATGGCTGCTACCTCAGAGCCTCCTGACCTAGCGTGTGTACTGTATGTGATCTTTGTCTGTTGTGTGGGCATGTATTTAGTGTGCTGTATATGGATATGTATGTACTGTGTGTGAATGTTAGTTTACTGATCCCCCAACCTGGAGGGCCAGTAACTGACTGCAGTTTGACAACTGGTCAATGAGGCCACCACCTCCTGATGCTATGTTTTCTACCTAATATCATAAAAAAAAAGTTTCATTGAAATCAATGACCTCTCCTTGTTGATAATAAGTATTTTGTTCTTCAGTACCACCTTCTGTATAATTTAGGAGCTTAATATTTAGTATATATTTTCTTATATTAATTTCAGATGAAATACCTCAAATGGAATCTCCTGGAGGATCTAGTACTGCAAGCTCAAGAGATAATTCTCCATGTAGAGAACTTTCTCCTCTTGTGACCAGTTTAAAACCTCCAGTGATTATAAGACGTGGTCCATCTGGTTTTGGATTCACTGTACATACTATAAGAGTCTATTTTGGTGATACAGATTTTTACACTATGCATCACCTTGTGATGGTAATTAGTACTTTTTAAAATAAATTTATTTATACATAGTTTCAATGGTTGATATTAATTTTAAAGCTGTGGTGTGATTAACTACAATTTATTATTTTAGTTGTAATTATAAATCCATTTCGTTATTTGTTTTTTCTATCATAACTCTTATCATGCTGATCATATCAATATTATTTATCACTTTTAAAAATCAAAATTTGGATGCTGCAGTTACAGCTACATCATAAAATGTTTCTGTTGTTTTTCTAACTAAGCATTTTTTTCTGGTAGAGAGATTAGATACTTCAAGAATCTATAAAATATTTATTGATTTAGGGATGTGTAATGTAATTATTTTTTTCTTCTTAAATAAAAATGTATTAGTTCTTTTTGTGTATGTTTAATCTTGCTAGTTTTACTGTTGTTTCTGAAGTTTTATTAGTTATTTCAATGACAGCAATGGCTAAGTTATTTTTATTTATTTATTAATGGTAAAATGAAGTTATGATTTAGCTCATGATTTAAGAAATAGTTCAATTGTTAATGCCATTATTATTCCTATAAATAGTTCAGGTTTGTCAAGAATATAAAATGATATAGAGGAGTTAGGTTTATAAAAACTTAAAAACTTGAAGCTGGAGTTTGTATTTTGGGAAATAAGTAGATTTAGATAAGATAGTAAAACTATTTTATTGAAATAAGCATATGCAGTAGACTCCCACTTACCTATCCTCATCAGGACCGAGACAATTCCGGTTAAGCTTGGTGAGCCGTTTTAATACGGAGGATATAAAATAAAAAAAATTCCAGTATTATCATAACTTTTATATTACGGAAAAATCTTTAAAATTGTATCTTTCAATGACTCAACAATTTGTTTTATTTTTTAACTTATTTTGTCACACTAGTGTAACACATCTGAAAAGAAAAACGTAGTACACAAACAAAAACCTAGACTAAAACCTTTCCAAGAAAATGCATCATATGTAATGTCGGTAATATACGCAGTTACAGTTCTAATCAGTACTGCCGTGGTAATTATGCAATATTTCTTCTTCATTTTTTCCCCCCTTTTTCTATGAAATAAATAAAGAATAAGGACTTTGTTTCAAGAATCAATTTTACTTCGAATAGATTTGTTTCATTGAGGTTCAGGCAATTATAAAAAAAATAATAGATATTAACATTGAATACTTTGTGGTTGACCGTGTTATATTATTGAGTAAGAAAGGCTCTTTTTATGAAAATAATGTCGGATTTGAGATAGTGACCCCGGGCACCGACTTTTTGTAACTTATCTGATTTAATAGATATCAGGGTCGACTATTAGATTTTGGGGAGTTCTTTTTATGAAAATAATGTCGGATTTGAGATTGCACCCCGGGTATTGACTTTTGGAATTAATCGATATCCAAGTCGACTATTATATTTTGGGGGGCACTTTTTATGAAAATGCTGTCGGATTTGAGATCGCACCCCATGTATTCATTTTTTGGAATTAATCGATATCAGTGTCGTCTATAATGTTTTAGGGGACGAATTTTATGAAAAAACAGTCGGATTTAGGATTGCACACCGCGTATCAACTTTTTGTAACTTTGCGTATTAAATCGATATTTAGGTAGATTATTATATAAATGGGCGTGCTTTTTATCAAAATACCATTGGATTTAAGATCAGATATGTTCAAAAAGTACTATGAGAAGGCGCAATCTCAAATTCAACATATTTTCATAAAACCGCTCCCCAAAACCTAATAGTCGACACTGATATCTATTAAATTCGAAATGTTACAAAAAATCAGGGCCTGGGGGCAGTATCTCAAATCCGACATTTTTTTCATAAAAAGAGCCCCCCAAAACCTTTTAGTCAACCCTGATATCTATTAAATCTGAAAAGTTACAAAAAGTCGATGACCGGGGGCACTATCTCAAATCCGACATTATTTTCTTAAAAAGCGCTCCATCAAAACCTAATAGTCGACCCTGATGTGGATATAATCCGAAAAGTTTCATAAACTTGGTGCCCGGGGGCACTATCTCAATTCCGAGATCATTTTCATAAAAAGCGTTCCCAAAACCTAATAATCGACCCTGATGTCGATATAATCCTAAATGTTACAAAAAGTTAGTGCCCGGGGGCAATATCTCAAATCCGACATTATTTTCTTTAAAAGCGCTCCATCAAAACCTAATAGTCGACCCTGATGTGGATATAATCCGAAAAGTTTCATAAACTTGGTGCCCGGGGGCATTATCTCAAATCCGACATTATTTTCATTAAAGTCAAGACATCCAAATGAAGAAATCTCTTCAAGCCATTAGGGACATGATACTCTCAGACATCCAAGGAGAGGGCTTTGTTCTACGTTTTTGATATGTTCTGAGAGGTGCATGCTTATCAAAGAGCTCAGTTATCTTTTTTGTGTTTAATTTAGTCTTTTCATCAATGTCAGTGCTGTCATATACCTCGGACAACAGTCTAACTGTTGTGTATCAATTTTAAATCCCTCAGGATCTACCTTCTTCAAATTTCTACTTTTGCCCAGAAAAATTCTACTTGACGAGGGACCCTTCTTATATAGAACAAAGATGAAGTCATTTGTCAAAATCCCTGGAACATGAACTTGTCCATGGACCTCACTTTAGAAATGTCCGACACTATGATGTAGTCTATCCAAGTCTCAGAATTTACAGGTGGCGGTATGAGTGTGGTTAGTGGTTTTGAAAGAGAGCATGTGTAAATTTAATGTTCTAAACACAGCGGTCATTTGGCTGAATTGAATGAGCCAGCCAAAGGGTTGTTATTTAGATCCCCGAGCAGTATGATGTCGGAATACTTGTCTCGGTAATATGAGAGGAAATCCTCCATGTTGGTAAGAAGTATCCACCTTTGGAGGGTGGTAGACCACTTCGATACAAATACACCAAACTTCAAGAAACAGATACTCCGGGTGATTTTCAACATACACTGAGGTTTCGAGCTCAGCGACAGGGTACTCATCCGTTACATACACTACTACTATCCTCTACACTGCCCAACCCTATCATTCCTGTAAACTTTGTAGCCATCGATATCGACACTATTAGAGGAGACTGTTGGAACAAGCCTAACATATATAACAGCTAATATGTCTAACTTAACCTGCTGAAAAAATCAATCTAACTTCATCAATATGGGCTGTTAAAGATTCGGCATTTATATGTGCCACCTGCAGCAGCCCATGATCGCCTCCAATGATTCTTGAGAATAAGAAAATCAATAATATATTTCTTTAATTCTGAAATAAGAATTAATAATCATGTAATTATTTTAAATGTGAAGTTCTTATTAGTTTCTGTCATCAAAATAAATTATTTTATTTTCAGGCTGTTGAAAATGGCAGTCCAGCTTTTGAAGCTGGATTACGACCCGGAGATTTGATAACACATATAAATGGTGAGCCTGTGCAAGGCTTATATCATACACAGGTTTTGCAGCTTCTGTTGTCTGGCTCAGATCATGTTACATTACGTTCTACACCTTTAGAAAATACATCAATAAAATCTGGTGGTCGTCGAAGAGAACTTTGGCAGTCTAAATTAGCTAGAAGGTAAGAAACTTTAGTTTTTATTAGTTTGATATGTTATGCCAGAATCATCTAATCCTTATGAAACAAATATAATTTTGTGGTAAATTGGTTATTTAGTCCTATCAGTATTGATTTGGTACCTGAGAGCCAGACTGAGGTGGGAAAGTGCCACACTTGTTTAAAAATTTATGTTAGTTGGGGATTCCTTAAAAAATATGACAGGGAATGCATCATTTTTGATGGAGCTAAAAAATTAGTTGTAACAATCTAATATTTCATGTTAACTGAGTTTGTGACAATGAGGGATTACTGTAATAGATATCTTCTTAGTCATAAAATGTTCAATGGAGATATTTACATCATAGTTGAGTTAATCTTATGGATATTTTACTAAATATAGTCAATGTTTATTTTAATATTGTTTATTTAGTATATCCTGCTCTCTCAAATTACATGCCTAGCCAAGATAAAACTTCTAAAGTTTGAATTGCCAATTTTATATAAATTGAAAAAAATGTGGACATGTTTTATCTTTTTACATTATTTTTCAATGCTTTTGAGTTTTTTTTAGCAAAACTTTATTTCATATGCAGGAAATATGGTTTTGTTGAAATAGATTAATGAACATCCTGCTAAAAATAAAATTCTGTTGATACTACCTCTTCATAGTTGATTTAATAAGACTGAATGAAGTTTTATCTTCGCTAAGCATGTAATTTTAGATAGCAGGATATACTAAATAAATAATATTAAAATAAACATTTATCCTCAACGCTCCTTACTTTGTCACAAATAAAATCATCCATAAAGACCTTAATGTTCCATATGTTTCCGATTTGGCCCAATCCAGATACCTATCCTTCCATAACAAACTCCAGAACCATCCAAACCCTCTGAGGCGTCTGAAAAGAAGATGGCCTCGTGATCTACTTATGTAAATATATTATTAGAGTTCTACCAATGGGTAGTTTCTCAACAAGCGTTTTCATGTGATTGTATTATTACTGTGTGCACATTTAGTATTTTTTTTATTTTTTTTATACAGTTGTAAATATCAATGGGAAAAAAAATAATAATAAAAAAAATAAACATAGACTATATTTAGTAAAACATCCATAAGACTAATTTACCTATGATGTAAATATCTCCATTGAACATTTTATGACTAAGAAGATATCTATTACAGTAATCCCTTATTGTCACAAACTCAGTTAACATGAAACATTAGATTGTTACATTAGTTGTTACAACTAATTTTTTAGCTCTATCAAAAATGATGCATTTCCAGTCATATTTTTTGAGGAATTCCCAACTAACATGAATTACAAGTGTGGCACTTTCCCACCCCAGGATTTACTGAATTTCTTGTTTACGTGTTACAATACTCTGTTTCTGTTTGTTTTCAATTTAATTTTTTAATGTTTTTTTTTTTAAATATGAATTTTCTTTGACTGAATATAGAGGATAGTATTTATATATATTCCAATTATGTAAAAATATTTAATATTCTTCAAATATGTAAAATAAAACTTGCTTTATTTGCTTTTTAATTGTATGAAAGGTAAATTAAACTGTTGGAGAAGGATATATATGGCTTAGAAAAAAATATATAAATCTGGTCCCTCGTTATTACCATGTGTTTTTCCTACCCTTAAATAATACTTGCAATATTTTCATTAGCATATCTTCTCTATTAAAAGTACAATAAAATAAATTTAAAAGTTTCTATTTATAGTAGACTCCCACTTAACCGACTCTCTGGATCAACCCGGCGGTAATGGTAAAAGAAAAAAAGAATGTTTTTAACATCCTTAAAAGCACTTATAACTGTGAGGTTCTCAACCACTGATTATAAATTAATTTTTGTTGTGTTGCGGTTCGATAGATTTAAAATAGATTGAAATGTAGACAAAAAGGTATTTCTTTATTATTTTTTTACAATTGACTGAATCTCAATAAAACAAACCTATTCAAAGTAAAATTAATTCTTGAAACAAATCCTTACCCTTCATTTATTGCATAGTACAATGAAAAAAAGAAATGAAGAAGAAATACAGTAATTACTGATGCAGTAATGTTAACGGCACTATAGACTATAATTTTAAATCAGTCTCAAAATAGCAGCACCATCTATTGGTCCTCACAGAAGCGCCATCTATTGGCAACTAGAAGAAGAGATTAACTAGAGCCCTTCTTAGGGGGGCCTAGGACCTGGGGGTCAAGATACACCTGTGCCAGTCTTCCCACAAATGGTCTCTATGACTCAGTACATTCAGAATATGTCTAGCTAGACTCGAGCATCAAGAACCCAGAGAGAGGCAGCATAGATGTCAACATGCCAGCCCACACATGCAGAAGCAGAAGCCAGTCTCTCTATGGGAGAATTCAACATCTACATTACTCCAGCAGCCAGCTTCTACTTGTTCATATCTAATGAGTACCATTTCTTAAATCCATACTAACTCATTAACCATAATGTATACAATTTGGTACCCCCCCCCATCAATTACTCTAATGTTTATTTCATATTTCATTTCCATTTTATTTTACAATATATTTTATGTTAACCCTTATTCGATTCATTTTATATACATCCAATTGAACAACCCTCTTCTGAACTATTTCTGAACCTCTGAACCTCTTCTGAACTAATAAGGTTTTATTTCCCATACTCAGGGATAGAGAAGGACTATTGCCCCAAACATTTTGGCGACCCTGACATGATTTTAACACGCAACCTTCTGTAACTGTTTATAGAATAGAATAGAATTAGTGAGGGGTAATTAAAAAAAAATTCATATCTGGCCAAAAAGCTAACTAAACCCTTTGACTGCAGGAGTTCATTCGCGAGTTTCTGTTATATGATGCTTCCTGAAATCCACAATGACGTCCAAAAAAACGGATTTTTTAAAATAAATTTGTTTAAAATGCTATTTTGTGTCACCCTTCAAGATCTTATTTTTCAAAAATGTATATTAACATTTTTATTCAACTTTAAAAAACAGGATATATGCCTTCCCGGCCGGACACAGCAATGCAAAATTAGAGTGGCAATCCCGCAACACTTAGCTTTCTTGCTTATTTGCTCATTTCTGAAAAGCAAAATAACTGAAAATGATCACAAAAATAACTGTAAGTGATCAGAAAAATTAAATGATATTATTTCTAAAAAATGGACATCGACGGCAAGGAAAAATTATATATTTCTTTGTATTTACAAATTTTTCTCTTAACTGAAGAAGTTCCATATTGAAAATAGCACAGTTATAAATTTTATTATTGCACTTAATTGATTTTGAGTTTATAACACTTTTATATTGTATGAAATATAATGAAAGATAAAGCAACTAAAGTGCCATTTTAATTCTGTATATTCTTATATTTATTAATTTTTGTTATTACATTTTAATTTAATTAAATATATATGTAGAAACTTACGTTTATTTGTTTATTAGACAGAGATCTATTACAGTAATCCCTCATTGTCACAAACTCAATTTACCGAATATATACGTATACTAAAACCGGCATTCAGTCAAAACCAAATTAAAAAAAAGAGATAAAATTAATTTATTGACATTCATTTTATGTATAAAATGTATACATTTTATATGTATACATGCATATGTATACATTGACATAACATTTAAATAGAATATAAATAATATCATGGATATGATACAAATAACAGAGAAAGGACATTCCTTGGGCTCAGAATTAATCTGCAACTGATAGCTTCCAAATGGTCAGAATCCGAAACGACTGCTACAGGGGACTAATGAATGCACTGACCAAGCCATAAGTCAAATGCTGAAGGCGGGACTTGCTCCTACCTGTTTAAGTGGCGACCGCCTAGCTGGGAAGGCATATATTCTGGCTGCACCAGTGAACCAACTCACTACCGGGAAGGCATATTTCCCGTCGCACCAGTGACCTAACTCTTTGACGTGAAGGCATGCATCCTGTCTGCAGTCAAAGGGTTAATAAAAATTCTAACAATATATTCTGTAATTTAAATAATAATATGTAAACAAAAAAAAAATCTCAAGAATTGATAGTTGTTATGTGAGTAAAGAGAACAAAAAAAAAAAAAAAAAAAAATATATATATATATATATATATATATATATATACATATATATATATATAGTATATATACAGTAAGAAAAAACAAAACCTGACAAAACGAAAAAATAACAAAAGTAAGTAAAGAAGAAGCAATGATTTTTTATGTTAATACTTAAACAGCAGGCACTACTATTCACTTCTAATAAATTCAATTCATGAAAAGAAATTCTAAGTTTGCAGATCCTCTGTTTGGGATGTAAGGAGGTATTTGAATGATGATAGGGAAGAGGCATGACGGATGTTAGATGGTAAGGAATTCCAGAAGGGTGTGTGAACTGAGGATTTAGGGTGAAGGAGACGGTAGATATAACAAGGGTGCTGGGAGTTGATTGTTTGGTACAAGAAAATTCCAAAGAAGTATTGGTGGCAGATGGAAGGGAAAAGCCCCTTAAAGTCATTATACAAGTGGGACACATGGAACCATCTTGATGTACCGAAAACAAATTTTATAAAACAGTTTAAGATTTTCTTCAGTCTATCCTCAAGCACAATCGAGAGGCCACAGTTTACCACACTGCTGTAGTCAAAGTGGGGGAAAATCAATGAGAAAAGGAGGAGCTTGCAGATAGGTTATGGAAGATGATTATGGGAATGATGGAATAAGAGTACCAATTGACCTTCTGAAGATATGGGCTATATGATGTTTCCAGGAATTTTTATTGATGAAAACCTCTGTTTTCATCAATAAAAATTCCTGATTTTTTTACAGAGAATGTGAAGGAAATAGGTTGGTGGTAATGGATTGGAAAGAAGGAATGGTGGTAATGGATCTGAGGAGGGAATAGCAACCTATAAGAATGCCCTGATTTTTTGTTGCATTTAACTTTAATTTATTCAAGCTTGCCCAGCCTCTGGTCCTATCTGGTCACTAGGTCTGTATCAATATTAGCAAATGCTGCTAACAAATCAGTGGGTGGAAAGGATAAATAAATTTGGGAGTCATCAGTATATAGATGGTATGAGCAATGGCAGTGGAGGATTGAACTAGGAAGGTCATTGATATAGGAATTGAAAAGACATACTCGCATATTACCGACGTTAAACATGACAGATTTTCTTGGAAAGGCTTTAGTCAAGGTTTTTGTTTGTGTACTATGTTTTTCTTTTCACTTGTGTTACACCTTTCATTCAATTAACTAGTGTGACAAAATGAATGAAAAAAGAAAATAAGTTGTTGTGTCATTGAAGGACAACATTTTAAAAATTTTTCCGCAATATAGAGAGTTAAAATAATATGGAATTTTTTTTAATTTTATACGCTTAACTAGTGATGTCCCATTCCTGATGAGGATGTATGAGCGGGAGTCTACTGTAGTTTCAATAGAAATTCAATTTAGTTACCATGGAAACATGATGTTTAAATATCATGGTAAATATTAAAAAGTATAAAAATAGAAATTTTTAGTCATTAGATTTTTGTTACTCTCAATTATCTTCTACTACTTAATGTATTAGATATTATTTTTACTCAAATCTTCAGCTTTCTAACAATATATTATGCATATATATTACTACTCTTAGCATTGAAAATTGGTTTCAATTTTGTTCATTCCTCCTTTTTTTTTTCTCCTTTAGTTAATACCAAATTGTTTCATAGTTTATATTGTTTAGTCTTTTCTCATTACTAGTACCCATGAGAGCCTGTTAATTATTCCAAATATACCAAAGTGAAAGTCCTTAAGAGGAAGGTATTTTGAAAATTTGGAATGTGAGAGCTCTGTTAAACTATTTCAGTCAGGATAAGATCTAGCTAACATTAAAGACTATTTAATTATACATTGACATAACAAGGTTAATCAAAATATTAAAGTTTTTTTGTATAAAACATAAAATTTATTATGTATTTTAAGTTGATCATTTTCAGTGCTGTAAAATCCTATGAACACATCTATTGTAAACAAGCAATTTCAGTTTCACATAACTTTTCGTTTTTGACCTAGGCTATTCAAAGACACATACATACATATCTAAAATTTTGCATGACTTGATTTTTCAGACCTATCGTAAACAAGCAATTTCAGTTTCATATAACTTTTCGTTTTTTGAGCTATGCTATTCAAAGACACATACACACACACACACTAAAATTTTGCATGACTCAATTTTTCAGACTCAGAAAGTTCCTCACAATTTGCATTTCCATTGAAAGTTCAGATTCAATGTTTTTGAAAATCTCAATATTATCACTTATTGTATATTAAATTTATAGGTAAGTGAAAGTAAAAGTATCAAACAAATTTGATACATCAAGAAAATTTGTTATTTGATGTTATAATGAATAACTTTTACAGATCTTTACAAAAACAGCGACGTCAAAAAAGAGAACTCGGCGAAAGAAGAAAAAAAGCTTCATTATTCAGAAAAATAAGCACAAAAAGAGCTAGTGTAGAAATGCAGCAGGTTGGTAATATATTTCCGTATGTTATATTTTATTTTTTATTTTTTGAAAAAACAATATTAAATCTCAATGGAAATCAAAGCTGTTTTTCTAGTACAAATAAAATCTTCCATATTCATTTCTATTTTTTTATGTAGAGCTTTTCTTCTGATCACAACCAACCAGCTACTATTTTTGATAATCATAATTGGTTCATGAAGAGTGGTACTGGTAGTAAAATGTTAACTAACTTATATAAGGTGAGTTCACTAGTTAAATGAATTTTAATGAAATAGTAAGACAAAATAAAACAAAACTAGGAACTGTACCAACTTCGAAATAGATAAAATTTACAGGGTTGCATCCTTTGTTGTTTTTATTACTATGTTACAAATATTTTCTAAAAATCATTTTCCAAAAAATTCTTTAGATATAAGCCAAAGGCTTTTAATTTTTTTTCAAATATCTGGTCGGGTACTCTAATGAAAAACACTTGGTTAAGGTTGTTCTGTGAGCTTTTTAGTTATTTATTCCTCCAGAATTTCATGATGATTGGAAGAAATGCAGAAACATATGGTGATTGCTTTGGGATGACTTGCAATTAATATATATTTTCTTTGTAGTACAAATCACTGAAATGATAATTTTTTTGCCATTCAGTGTAAAGGATGACGGGCTTTGTGATATCCTTATCAACTCTGAAAGCTATGAAAATTTTGCTTTATATTAAAAAATATTTTCAGTCTTCATCCACTGTGTTTCTGAATGACTATACCCCAATTTTTTGGGAGCTATTACAACTTCTGTGGGAAAGCATAAATAAGTATAAAACAGTAATGAATCACAAGTAGGAAAAACGATAAACATCAATGTATATATCATGGATGATAAATATTCAGGACGCAGTCATTATAAAGTTTTTATTAGTGCTGACATTTCAACATGTGGGTCATCATCAGGGCATGGTTCGTGCACTGAAGTTATTCAAGTACTCCTTTCAAGAATTCCTTCAATAACCAATGTATATACAGTAGGGTATTCCATAAGTAGAGGGAAATATTTAAAAGGTAGATATTAGGCATCAAGATCTACAAAAAAGTTTATATAATCATTTGCCTAATTTCTACCAGAAAAGTAGGAAATTTAAGATTTGTGTTTTTTCTTAAGTGAGTCACTTTTTTTTTTTTTTAATAGGAAGCGATAACATAAAAAATATTTGTTTTAAGTAATTAAACATTGCTCCATAATAAACTAGACAACATTTACTGTAAACCAAAGTAGAGTTTGTCATTGTTAAAAATATTTAAAGAGGACTTTTGAGCGGCTAAACACAGCTAAGTCCCGTTTAAAAGAAAGTCAAATTATTTGTGATTTTTTTTTATCACTCTTCAACTGTGCTTTACCCCACTTTTACAAAAACTTTCTTATTAAAAAAGCTTTAAGTCCATATTAATTAATCTGAGGTTTATTAGGAAAAATTTTGAGATTCACTTTAAGTTGTGTAAAGAAATTATGTAATTTTCTATCCAGTCACCTAAAAGTCCCGTGTTTTCAGCAAATTACAATTAATTGTTGCAAAGCTTTTATTTCTTGTTTTTCCTTGATATGGGATGTATTGTAATAAATATAATTGCCTCAAATCATTTCATTGCCGTTTCCTCGTCGGTTAAGGTGCCACTTTACATCTAAGTTCTTCATTTTCCCATTGAATTTAGCAATGTTGAATTCCCTACCCCTGTCGGAGGAGAGTCCGTAAGTACTCCATAAAAGTGGAACCAAATCCGAAGGGTCCCGAGTTCTGCCTCATGTGATCGTTCCTGAACTTGGTACACTATTTTCACTTTACTAAAGAGGCTTATTATTGTGACCCGCTTATATCCCCTCCATGTGAATGTGTCAATTTGTTAGTATTTCTCAAAAACATCTTCCACGCAATGCCTGCAATGTCTCTTGCACCCTGCAGTGGTTAGTTTTCCCTAGTGGTACACGAGTGTTATCTCCTTCTGCTGCTCTCCGTCTCTCAATGTTTCCACCATTAAATTGCAACGGAAGAATGTCCGATCTATTTCAATTCCTTCAGACCGCCATATTCTCATGACTTTCTCCCATATTGTAGCATGACCAACTTACAGTTGTGGATTTTTCCTGCTTTTGATGTGTCCTTCAGTACTCTAAAAATTGGACTTCTTTCGATCCCAGTTGTGACCAGATGGTTGTGATCCTACTCTTCTCGTACTTACTGTACTGAACTTTCATTAACTCTGAGATACTCTTCTTCCATATTATTTGCAAGCGCTTATCATAGATGATTTCTTCGAGCTCCTCCATGTCCATCGGTCTTCCATCCTCTGGACTTTTCTCTAGTGGGGATTCCTCTTCGTCGTTACAGTCCGTCTCTTCTCTCTCCTCTTCTGTTGTCCACTTTCCTAAAAATTGTTGCACTTCCCTGGATGGTTTTCCTTGGCCACTTCTATGGCATTTACATGTCAGCTCTAAACAGTCAGTCTGCTAACACATTCTCTTTCCCTGGCTATATTATATCCATGTTATACTAGTTGAGGAATCCTTCAACTTACCCACCCATTGCAGGGGTTTGTGATTGGTGTGGACATGAAACATTCTCCCAAGCACCACACGGGACCTAAAATGGTCTATAGCCCATAAAATCCCCAATAACTCTTGGGCACTATACCTCGTTTTGCTGCCATAAGATACCTACTGGCATATGCTATGGGTTGTTCACCACCGTCTCCTTCCTGAAATAACACAGTCCCAGCGCATATTCGCTCATGTCAGTTGTGAAGGTAAACATTTTTATAAAGTCTGAAAATGCGATTACCGGCTCCTCTTGAAGTCATTTCATACATTTCTGGATATTATCCTCTATCACTGGCATAACTATCACTATCATTCCTTTCTTTAATCAGTTATTGAGGGGTGTGAAATATTCTGCCATTTCGGGTACTAACCTTCTGTAACAGTTAAGCAATGCTTAACATAATAATGCAGCCTAAGAGCCTGTGGATTCCTTTCATGTTTCTTGGTATCGCCATTTTCCTAATTGTCTTTACCCTATTTGCATTGTATGTTTGTTGTGTTAATTTTACCTCACGAAACATTTGGAAAATATTTTCTTTCATGGTCCATCTACTGCCTCCATACCTGTTCTTCAGTTTTTATTTTACCACCGCCCTCGGTGTATCTTCATCCGCTTGGATGTAATTCAGAATGTTTCTTTTCAATCTACACACTAGTGTTGCTTTAAGTGCCTCCTCATCTCCAGTATTGACCAAGTTTTCTATTATTTTGGCATCTATCCTAGCAATAAGCCAATCGCCACCTTTAACAAAATAGTTTAGATTTTTCATAGTTCATAGTGCATAGTTTTTCACCTAATTCTCCTTTGAAGCGCTCGAGGTCTGATATTGTCTTTCCTGATGTATCGTTACCCTAATCTTCATCCACTGCAGCGTGTTAAAAAAATACGGAACTCTGCCCACTCGTCTGACGTTTTTACACCAGTTAAGTGTCAGTGGGTTAAAAATATTGCGAATGTTGTCACTAAAATATGTAGTTGATTAATTAAAGAAACAAATCTTTCTAATTACTTTATTCAAACATGTTAAAAGTAATAACGTAAAGTAAAATTAAGTAAACATGTGATGTCATTATTGTCTGAGTCTAGCTACAACTATGAAATGGTATGCTATATATGTTATATGCTATATCGCTGCACTTCTGATTTTAACTTAGTGTATATATATATATATATTTTTTTTTTTTTTTTTTTTGATTTTCCTTCATGCTCCATGCCTTAAAGACATACTACATGAATTACATTTGTTTACAATTGTTTTTTTTTCTAGTTTCACATGATTTACATTTTTAGTTCAAATTTATATATTAACAAAAAAAAAACACAAAGAATAAACACACAAAAATTAAATCGGAAAATTAAATATTAAACACACAAAGTCAATCTAACAAAGCCAAAAAGAAATCACCCACGCTGCCCATCCCTGGTTAGTAAGTCGAAGTCGATCGATCTAATAAATCTAAGAAAGTCTGTCTTGAATTCAGTAAATAACTTTTGTTCCGTCTCAGGCCAATTTCCTCTTTTGATAATTATACTTTTTATTAACTCAAATCGCTGTCTGTCAAATCGTTTACATTCATATATTATATGTTTAAAATTTTGAACCTGTCCGTCTTCATCACATAAGTCTGTTTGTATAATGTTGAATCTTTTAAGATATTGTTTTGTATTCCCATGTTCCGTAAGTACTTGCGTAAGTTTGTAGTCATTACTGTGAATGTGTCTGTAATTGTGAATTGAAATGTGTGGTATAAATCTGTGTAAGCTTGGTGACTTAGCTGAGGTCACCCATATGTGATCCCATCTTTTGATGAAATCCAACTTTAAATTCATATTAATATACGATAAAGGAGCTTGATGATACGATGGCGGCAAATCGCTTTTAGCTGCTTCTTTTGCAAGGCAATCGGCTCGTTCATTGCCCTCAATCCCACAATGTGCTTTTACCCATTTTAGAGTAACTACTTTCCCTACAGTTCTCATCATTAACAATTTGTTTCTAATTTGGTCAGTCAAGTAATCATGAATGTCCCAATTATTAACAGAGTCTAGCAGAACTTTGTTGTCTGTATTTATAGTAACGTGAGTATTCGTTTGTAGAGGGTATTCATATATGTATTCAGTAACCTTTAAAACAGCGAATTTTTCTGCCTGATTATTTGAACAATATGATTCTAATTTATATTGATGTTCTATATTCCTACCATCTTGAGCTCTGAACAACCATGCACATCCAACATTCTCGCCGTCCTTACTACCATCAGTGAAAACATCAGTATTTTCAGAAGTAATTCCCGGTCCAGTCCATAAACTTGTTGCAGGGTGTAACCAAGATTTACAGTCAGTGATTCTTTCTATTTTGTCTAGGGTCAGGTTTTTGTATCCTCTCTTTCCTTTTCTAATGTTATATAAGGTCGTTCGTTCTTCAATCTTCATTTGGATTGGCAACAGCCCTGCCAATAATATTGTGGCCTCGAATGATAGTGTACGATAGCCCTTACATATCTTAATCGCAATTAACCTCTGAAGCCTTTCCAACTTCACCAAATTTTTCTTACGTTCAACGGCCGGATGCCAGATATATACAGATATATATATGTATATATATGTATGTATATATATATATATATATATATATATATATATATATATATAGTATCCTTATAAGCAAAAACTTTCTCTATTTTCGGGAACTGTAAGAAGGTGGCTTTATCTCCTTTGAAAATCTTTAGAATGGTGAAACAATATCGAAATTACCCTCTTCCTTTAAATATTCTTTGATATAGTAGATGTAGAATTTGTATTTAATATATTGGCGATGGCAAAGGTGACGCCTTTAAACATCCAGTTAAACAGGAAACATCTGGATTGTGAATTGAAAATTCCTTCAACCTAGATTACCAGGCCCCCCACCTGTGAAAGGAATTTCCTATCTTTTGCAGATTTTACAAACTCCTCTGCAAGTTTCAGGAGATCTACTCTTTTAGAAACCTTTCTTTGGCTGTTGCTGTTTCACTATTCTGAATTTATCTTTCAATTAAAAACATGATTTTTTTTTACTAAATGAAGTAGGCAAGAAATGCATTAACTGACTTAAAATAAAAGTGAAAAAAAAGAAATAAATAAAGTGATAATATAAATAAAATAAATATAGAGTTTTACCCTATGTTACTTGGAATGCTCTTGAGAAATATACCTCAGTGGTTGTTATAGTCTCTCGTATTCCCTTTTCTATAGATTGGAACTATAACAGCTACTTTGCAATCTTTTGGAATTTTCTTTAGCTTCCCTCATAGGTTCAGAAGGTGTAACATCATCTCTTTTCCTTTGGGTTCCCATGTATTTTAGCATTCCAGAGGTTGTTTAATCTTTTCCTGCAAATTTATCCAGCTTCTTGTTCACCAGCACTTCTTTTAGTTCTTCTTCATTAATATAATCCTCTTCCCAGGTACCTTCCTCTCTCAGCTCTCCATGTATCCTACCTAGTGGGCTGTACATTCCCTTCCAGATCTTGGAAATATTCTCTCACCTTTTTATTTTTTGATCATTTTATCTGAGAATATTTCCTTCCTTCTCTTTCACTGACCTCAAAATTGATGCTCTATCTTTTCTTAATTTCTCAAGTATATTGTAAAATAACTTTTTATTTTGGTGGAAATCTTATCCTAATTTTTGTATGCTGGTTGTGCTCATGGCTTTTATTACCTTGGTCTTAGCCTCAATTTTTTTTTCTTATACCACTCAAAGTTCTCAGATGTTTTTTTTTCAAGGTAATCTTTTGAAAGAGTTCTTTTCTCCAATATCTTTTTAAACCTCAGCCAACCACCATTCTGTTCTCTTGAACTGGGTTACAGTTTCTTTTTAAGCAAAAAGTTGCTGTATCTTATGATTTCCTTAAAGTGAAACTATCGTGTTTCTAAAATGTTCTAGTCCCATGTGTGTTTTAAGTCTAGCCATTTTTCAACTTCTGGCTGCTAATACAAAGAAATTTATTAATTTTCTTGCTTTTATCAATTCTTTATAGATCCTTCTGTCACTCTTCCTGATTTTTCTCTTTCCATTCCATACCAAAATAACCTGTAACAATGGTTGCTTCCTGTCTCAAAAGCTTTTTAAAGTATAACATTGATCAAACCATTGAGAGGATGTTTTTTAACTAAAAAATGGTTTGTCAACTCTTCGTTTCCTGTGGAGATAGTGTTATCATTTGTTCTTTAGACAGCATTTATAGTCTTCAAGACACCTTCCTTTTCCATGTCAACCATCATCAACCGATCACTTACTAATTTCCATCCTTTGAATACTATATTCATTTAAGTTTCTTTAAACATAAAGTCTATATCTCTGGCTATTCTGCTTTCAGTGGCTCCTGAATAGAGCATAATACTATTACTTATCCTTTCATTTCCCATCTGTCTTTGGTTGACTTCAGTTAATGTCAGGAGATCAGCTTTTGCCTTGTTCTCCTTGACTAACTCTTTACATTCTAGATTGCAAATTATTAAATCCTTTTTCTGGGCATGTCGAATTCCATTAGAGCTGTTAAGCTGTATATTTTCCATTACTCATCATTATTTTCTGACATTTCAGCTTATTAAAAGACCAATTAAGCAAAATGCTGATTGCCGTGACCGAAAGACAACTCAAGTCAAACTCGCCAGTTTGCCATTTCGGGGCAGTGTTTTCACTTTGTTTTCTGATAACATCTTTTTTTTAATTACTAGTTCTAAGGAATACAATGATGTGCAATTTATAGGAATATTGGGGAGGGGGATGTTCTCTCTTAGTGCTATTTTATCCCGTCTTGTTTATTGAAACAATTATTAAAGCTCCCTGCCGTCTTAGATAGTAATTTTCTTTTTCCATGGCCACTTTTAATTAAATGGTCTGCCTTAAATAGCAATAATAATCTACCTTTAGCTGTAATTTTGTAATTTTTTATATCAATGGCCTATTATTATCTACATTGTTTTATTTTTTTATTTATAGATAGCTGCTTCTTCACCATCACTAGTAACTCCCAGTAGAAGTTTTCAGTCATTTACCAGATCGTTATCAAGCCATTCTGATTCTGTTACACGATCACCCTCAACTCCAAAATTGTTAATGAGTCCATCTGATAGTGTTGCAAGATCTGTTGATACATCTACCAGTTCATCAAGTTCATCAAATAGTAGTAGTCCTGCTGTACCTGCACCTCATTTTCAGAGACCTTCTACATTACATGGCTTAAAGCATAAATTACACTCAGCTGCAAAAACTATTCATTCACCCAGTAGACGTAAGTCTGTTGGTCATATTCCACTTTCCCCTTTAGCTAGAACTCCTTCTCCATCTCCAGTTCCATCATCACCCACTCGTTCTCCAAGTCCTTTAGCATTCCCCCCTGGCCATCAACCTGGAAGTTCAAATACAACTCAATCATATAGCCCTGGAAATACTGGCAGTAATGCTACAAAAAAAAGCTTTAATAGACCCAAAAGTGCAGAACCTGGTTCACCACTACTACGGAGAGCTTTGTCTCCTGACAGACTTCATCCACGTAGTGCTGAAAATAAGTCTAAGTCATGCTCAACAACTATTTCACCACTTTGTGATCCAGCTTTAAAAGTTACTATTTCATCTCTTCCCAGAGTTACCATTACTTCCAAATCTCCACCTGTTCAAAAAATTACAGTTGATAAAGATACTATAAAATCAAAACCTCCTGAACACCCTGTACGTAAAGATAAAGAAAGACGAATAGAAGATCAGATATCTGAAGATAATGATACTGATTTTATTGGTTTGGCATCATCTCAGCCTTTGCCACGTATAGCTGAAGAAAAAGACTCACCAACTGCGGTAAAGGAGGAAGTATTAATCCAAAATAAACAAGATAGTGAACATGTATATTCATCACAAAGCAAAACTAAGAATAAATCTACGAATAAAAATTTAATTAACTCTCGAAAAGTTAAAAAGGATCATATGAAACAGTAACTTATTTACATTATTTATAAATTATGGTTTTCCCTGGGTACCTTGTGGAGGTGTGACAATGAGGAAACATTAATTCACTCAACAAATTTTGGATTAAAATTGTAATATTCTTGGTATAGATTTCGTTTTGCTAAGATAGTTTCTTTATGAGAAATTATAACATTAATTTAGTTTTTATATGTGTGTGTATATATATATATATATATATATATATATATATATATATATATATATATACGCACATATATACACACACACTCATCTTATAATGGTCTTTAATGTACATCTAACTCTTAGAATTATAGTAATGGTATGTTATATATTTTGGTATGTTATATATTAGTTGTCTATGGATGGTGACTTCATCTGATAATAAAGGAATTAACTAAATTGTTCTTTGTTTAAATGAATGCTGGCATTAAGTTAGCTGATAAGTTCCAAATATGTGGCTTCTCATATTCATATAAATTTGAAATAAAGTTATTCTTTGGAACACTATTAAATATACGAATGTTGATGAAAATGGAAAGTGTTAGTTCAATTTTGAAAAACAATTGGCTTTAACGCTGTTCTTTTTGGATAAAGTACTCTTCTAATCTGTAAATATTTACAAATAAATATTTCATTGCTAAGCAATTAAGCTGGTAATATTTCAATTGTTTCTGTTTTATTTTAAATGATTGGACCATATATCTTTTATAAATGTCTATTAAATACTTATATAAATAAATACTTAAATTACCTTTTAATATTAAAAACCTGTAGGAAACATTTAAAAAAATAAGTTACAGCTAATTATTAAATTTAATGTACGAGGAAATAATCATTTCATTAGACATCTTTTCTTTTTTTTAATTTGGTTAAAAATTATATATTCCTTTTACCTAATTATTAGTTACTTTCTTTTTTTTCTTTTAAAGTTTGGTTCATTAAGATTTTTATGAATAAAATCATTTTATAAACATATTTCATACAATCCAATATACTTTTAAAAATTTTAATTCAAATTTTTATTTATTTAGTAAACAATTTACAACTAATTTTAGAAAAAAACATACTAAGTTTAGATTTTATAATTTACAATATACATTATTATAAAGTTGAAATTAATAAAACATAGTGTCAAGTGATAAACATCTGATAGTTTACTTGACCTTAGATTTACATATATGAAGAATAAGTTTTTTAAAATCTTCTATTTACTTTTATATCATTGTTTCAAATGAATTTTATATGAAATGTAGCAATCCAGAATTTTAGTAAATTTAATTTAACAAAATAAAGTTCAAGATTTTGCATCAGTAGTAAAACATTGATGTATAATCTTCCATTTGCAAGCAATTTTAATGATTTTTTAAATATTATAAATAAAGATTTTTTACCCAAACAAATTTTTAGTTTCTGATTTCTATCTTTCATTTGATTTAATTATTTTATGATAAAAATTAATGTTTATGCACCATAGGTATTACAAATTCATCATTCTGTTTAATTATTACTTTAGTTTAAAAATTAGCTTTATGTAATGACTGAATATTTGACTTAATTTTCTGGATTATGAAGTAGCTTTTTTTTTAAGAACAACTACTAAAGTTATTAATTAACAATTTATATTTTTGTTAGATTGCTAATTAAGAGATAATATGCTTAAGTGCATCAGCAGTAATTATTTGGGTGTTTTGTGAGCATTCTTATAAGCTATTTTTTCCCTTAATAATAATGTGTTAGTATTAATATAATACAATATGATACTATTAATGAGTAAATATTAAAAAGTGACAAAGAAAAAAATTCTTTAAAATTGGTCTTTATAAATTAAGTATATAATTTTAATTAATTAAGTTACAAAATATTAGCAGGAAAGTCAGATACTTTAAAATTTTAATAAGCATTACACAAACTTGACCAGATTTAACTCATATCTTTCAATTTAAATACAATTATAATGGAAAAATATAATTTATTTTACTCTATATTATTTCTATACATTTTTTTATATTTATTTTTATTTTAATCTTAATATAGCCTGTTAGTGACATTACATCTGTAAGTTATAAATCATATGTAACCCCTACCATATTTAATAATAAATTATAAATATTTTGTTAGTAATATTTAAGATTTTTGAAATTGGGTATTTATACTTTTGTTGTTTAATTGTTTTTCTTGACACTATGTTTATTAGAACTATCTTTCAATGAAATTAACTGTTATACTCTGTATTAACTTGTATTTTTTATTGATTTAAACATTTTCTTTATTGATTTATTAATTTTTTTAAAAATATTTTGACAATGTTCTGTTAAAGTCCTGAAGCAAATCTATTACTATGTGAATCAGTGATGAATTTATTTTATAGTAATTTATAGCTCTTGCATAACACCCATTTAAATTTACCATGAAAGTATTTATGAATATTATTTCTTTATCAATTATTTCATCCAAAAACTCATCTATTAGAAAACTGTAAATTTATCTATCCATTGTTTTATTGCTCAAATTGAGCTTTTCATTGAATTAATTAATTAATTTAGGTACAGAAAGAAGTATGCTCTAAATTCTCTCAAAATATTTTTCATTGTGTTGAATTTTAACTTATTATTATTTTATTAAATCAATAATATAATTATAAACTTATTGCAGCTTGATGCTGGCATAATTTATTAACAAGTAACTTTTTATGTTCAGAGACTGACTGATCTGTATCTTGAGTTGAAAATAGACTTTTTAGTCATAATTTCTCATTATATTATTCACTGTTTGTGAATAATAATTGTACAAATTTTCATTTAAAATTTTTGGTATTTCTAACCTCACCTTATTTATTTTATGTTCTGTCCTAAAGTTTTGTGTTTTTAAATGTCTATACTATTTATGGAAATCAAGGTTTTTATTATATTTATTAAATGTAAAATTACTGCTTATTGGTGTGTTTTATTTATCTGTTTTTATGTATATAAATATTTTTTCTCTGTTTATACATATACTTTACCCATAAACACACACGTGTGTTTATGGGTAAAGTATATGTATAATGTGTGTGTGTGTGTGTGTGTTTACACATGCGTATGTGTATATGTAGATTAGTTGTATATTAATGTTCTTGAATTAAATCAAGTTAATTGTTGTTTATTTTTCATGTTAACTAATTTATTTATTGATCTCAAAGAAATTAAATATGTTTAAGATTTTTAACTGTACACATGGCTGGAGTTTTTAGACACTGTCTTTAATTAGTTTTAGTTTTATAAATGTTACATTCCGATAAATTTGTAAATTTTATAATACATATTTGTTATAATTTAATGTCATTGATATTGTGCAATAATTATTATGTTATTGGAATCATTACAGAAATCAAAGTGTGAATGATGAAGTACGATATGTGCGTGTAATGTTCTACACAAGCACATTTTCTACTGTTTAATTTTTGAAAATTGATTTGTAAATATATCTTTGTTTATATATTTATAGTTGTGAAATATTGAATCTTATTTACTTGCTCATTATGCTATTATGAGCTGCCCTGTCATTAAATCTTAAGTTTAACTTTATGTATCATTATAATATATTATATGTTTTATATTATGTAAATTGATTTATATAGTGATATGATATGTGATTTATTTTTTTCTTTTTTGTTGAAATTTCTAATATAAAAAAATTATGAACTGTATTTTTCTGCAAATTGCTATTGTGTAGCTACTGAATGCTATGAAACCGTATTACTTTTTTCATGTTGACCTAACCCAGGCTTCACTGAAGAAATGTAACAATTTGGGGAATTTTTACTTTTATTTATAAATTGAATTGATAATAAAGATGTGTAAGCCACTAAAGTTTTTGGTTTTATTTTAGTGTGACTTCTTATTTATTTATTATGTATTAGTCACTTCAAGGGATTATGTGAAGTTATTTGTAATTCTATAGATATTCTTTCTTAAATTATGAGAATAAAATTAGCTAATGCCATAATTTTTATAGCTTTATCTGTGTAATCATTTTATATATTTTTAAAACAAGTTAATTAAATTAAACTGTTTAATATCAATTATTGAATTAAGTGAAAGTATTTGTTTTAACAACATTATTTATAAATGATAATAAATAAAACCAGCACATGTTTGATATGATTCCTGTCAGTTTTTCACAAGTTTATTTATTTTACATTAAATTATGATGGAAATCTGTAATAGCTAAATAGGTTTTATTAGTATGTCACTTGAAACAGTTCTTGCTAACTGTACTAACTATATAACTTTTCCTGTTTTCTATATTACAAATAATTCTTTTCCTGTCAAGTTATTAATATAAAGTTGCCCTAAGATTATCATGAAATATTTTCTAGTTCACCTGTTATTATTCCTTGACTTGGATTTTCCCCTCAATTGCATCTTATATTTTCATTCAGAGCACCTTTATTACTACCATATCTATCTTAGAAATTTAATCCTCTTTTTTAAAAAAGTTTAATCATTTAAGTAGGATAAATATGAAGCATTAATAAAAATAAGTTACCGATAAATTTAATGACTGCTGTTGGCCTGCATGGTATTAGGACTCAAGGAGTTTTCCCTGAGCATAAGGCCTTTTTTCTCTGTTTTTGTTTCCTTATGCCCTGTACCTACCTCGCTTGGCATATGGGTTGTTGTTCTTGTGGTACAACCAAAGAAACCTGTTCAAACCACAGTGGGAGGATTTATTCCGTGCCTCCTCCACGAAATAAATTTAAACCAACCCAAGCCAGATTCAAACTAGCATTATTAGACTCTAAAATGTTGATGTTTATGCTTCAACACAATTGGTTATCACAACCTGACTTTCTCTATGCTGAACATACATAATGCTAAAATAGCAGAACCGCTCATCATTTTAAGTAGATAAACAGTCACTTGGCAAACTTCCTAACCATTCTTAAAAAAATTAGGCATTTTCAGACCTAAATAATTTAGGTTTGGAGCTCAATTATTGAATTTCAACCATTGAATTTCTCCCGCATCCAATTTATCAGTCTAAAGTTCTCATTGACCATCAGTCACATATAAAATTATTTGTCATGATAGCTGATCAGGCATCAATTAGGTACCTGTCTTACATAAACAAAGAGAAATACTCCGGGATCAGGCAATTTTTTGTATTACCTCGTAAGCAGCAGAAGCTTTGACTAGCGTATATAGAAAACCTCATTATTTAATTTGAAGACAAAATATGTTTGGTAGTTTCTCAGTGTAGGTTAGGCGTGAAAAACTTCAAAATTAAAAAAAAATAAATTAAAATTACTTTATCAGTGGAAAGTTTTTATACCTCCTAGAAGTGCATCGCACATCATTTATTGTTCAAAAAATCCAAGTGGGTTATGGCAACATAACATACTTTAAATTTGAAATTAATTATCTTATAAGCAGCATGAACAATTTTTTATGAGAATATTTTACTGATACAGATGATTCAGGAAATACTTCATCAGATTACATATTTTAGAAATTTTGGTTAAATTATGTCACAAAGGGCATGCTTGTGAATTATTTCATATCAATCTTAAGATTTCCCTGAAGAATCAAATATAATCTGATGGAATATTTTGGTAGGTTTGATCAATCAGGCAATCTTGTAATTCATGAAATTAAAAAAAAAAATACATCACAAGGCGTATGATAAATTTTTTCATGAAAATCTTGTAATAAAAATGATTCAAGAAATACATCTGTTTAAGCAATTTTCTATTTTAACAAAAAAGGCAAATAACTCCAATGAGTTCAACTTAGGCAATATTCAACATTATTTTGGCATTGGACTGTATTTTTATTGAATGTGGTATGTTATATGAATTATACAAAGTAAAACTCACCCTTGCTGGCTCAGATATGTTACTTGTGAGGGTGGAGGGCGCCCTCCAGTCTGGTCTGTGGTCCTCTCTATGCTAAGTATTGGCCGGCTGAGGGAGATTCATAGCTTGAGCGACTTCACTTTTCTCTTTAAGCAATTTTGAATTTGAAGCAATGTTTCAATAAATTAAAGAACGTTAAATTTTGCGTCAAATGAGTACATAAACTTTATAATTTGGTTACGAGGTAAGATATAAAACCACGGTTAACCAACGCTGATTTTTGCCAAATTTGTTAAAAACTGAGACAAATTGCTATAAATGGCCCTGTAACTAGGAAATTAGTTCCCTTAGAGGAAAAAAACATTGAATCAAAGTTGTAGAGCATCAAATTTTGCGTCAACTGAGTACCAACTAATTTAATGGAGGCCACTTACTGCGAACAAAATTGGTAATCTTCCGATGGTTAGAAATTGATAACGAAGGTAAACGTGATTTTCAATATTTTAACAGTATAGGTGTTTATTCTACTGAGTTATTTTTGTTTAGAGTCTGTTACGTGCAGTATACGTCTCTTTTCCACCTCTCAACAGCAAAAGATTTTGGTAAAGGATGTATCGAAAGATACCTAATTTTATAAAGGATGTATCGAAAGATACCTAATTTTATAAAGGAATAACGAATCCCGATTCGAGATATATAATTGGCCTACAATAAAAATGTCAGTACTCAGTTGACGCAAAATTTGATGCTCTACAACTTTGATTCTATGGGTTTTTCTAGAGAACTCATTTCCAAGATACAGGGCCTATGGTATCCATGAGTTAATGGTTTCTGATTTAATTTTATTTAATATATAATTTGTGAATGGTTTCACTATTACAATGTGATATACCGTATTTGTCTGGATATGTATAAGTCAAGGTTTTGTTTATTTTTTTTTTTAAGGCTTTAACCACTTGGGTCATTATTACCTTATTTTCATTGAGAATTAGATTGTATTTTCAAGTTTAGAACATTTCAGAAATGAAAATAGTTTATCAATTTCATTTGTATTGTCCTGTAAAATGAAGTGTAGATCGTTTGTCAAGTCACAAGAGATTCTAAATGTTTCGTAAGCCCTGCATTCTGTTAAAATGTGTTCCACTGTCAGAGGAGTCCCACAGGTTTGGCATGTTGGCGAAGAATCACGGACCATCAGGTATCCATGAGTAAGGCGTGTGTATGACCTATACGCTGGCACGTAAGAATTACTTCCTCTCTGCGGTTATTCCTATTTAGCGATGCCCAAGAGGAAACGTCACGCTTAACATCCCTCATAGGTCAAGGTTTGACACCTATTAGTATTCTGCTGTTCGAGATTAATCCAGGAAAAATTGAGCTTGAATTAACTCAGTATTTATAGTAATTTGTCTCAGTTTTTGACAAATTTGGTAAAAATCAGCGTTGGTTGACCGTGGATTTATATCTTACCGCGCAACCTAATTATAAAGGCTGTGTACTCAAAGAGATTTGGATGAAGGATATCAGGATATGTATTGAAGGTTTTGAAGATATGGCGGGCAAATATGAGAGATTTCTCTTTGTCAGATTTGGTCCAGGTTTGAGATTCAGTAAAGAAGTAGATGATTAAAGTTTTTAAACTTCTTCTTCTTTTGCATCACCCTGTAGTGCCTTTCAGCGTAGGGGAGCGTCTAACCAGGATTGCCAATTTTCCCTGTTTCTTGCAATATTTCTGACTTGGCGTATATTTTTATTTCTATTTTTGCACAGGCGGTCTACGTATTCGAGGTACGACATTCTCGGTCTGCCACGGGGTCTTCTGCCATTGGGGACGTAGTCCATAGACTTTAATGGATCTCTGTGTTCTTCCATCCTGATGACATGCCCAAACCACTTAAGCTGCCGAGTCTTTAGGACCTCCTTCATCGGGGGAACCCCCAATTCCTCCCTGATTCTCTCGTAAGTTTTTAAATTTCAGGAGTTTATTAGTAGGCGTCCATAGTGATTTGTCAGTAGTTGTAAGATTTTCAGTTAGGTTAAGTAATTTTTGAGTTTTGAATTTACTGATTTCTACTTTTAGTTTGTTAGTCAATTTGTTATAGTGAGTTTTATTTGTTGGACATCTGGTACTGACGTTGTCCAGAGTGGTTTGTATGTTATCTTGTAAGGTCATTACATGTTTTCCCTCAGTATATCATGTGCACCATCCTCAGTGTCGGAGTGGGTCTAGGTGTCAAGTTGAATCCAGACGATCTGGATCACGTAATGAGATTCAAGCCCAAGCAGGATGGGACTCCAGGACCTATTATCGCTCGATTTGTTAGGCAAACCATAAGAGACGTGATACTGCAGCAGAGAAGAATTAAGAGGGACTTCTCTACACGCCATCTAGGTTGGGGATAGAACGAGTCGCACCGAGTGTACGTGAGCGAAGCTATGACCTCCGCCAATAAGCATCTCTACTGGTCAGCAAGACAAAAAATATGACAGCAAGAATAAAATACGTATGGTTTAGTGGGGTTAAAGTCTGGTGCAAGTGACAGTCAGACGGGTAACAGGCGGTAATCATAGGGAAATCTAGCGATCTGGGTGTTTTTAGTTGAATTTTGTGTATAAATTTCCTAAAGTTTGTAGTAATTTTATTTGTTCTCACACAAAATATTTTTATTTCATAATTTTTTATCTTTTATTTTCATTTCAGTATTAATGTTCTGAAATTTCATTTGACAATTTGTTTTTTTCTATTGATTTATTTTAATCAAAGCCATGCCCATATTTTCTTACATCGTACACGAATCTTGTGTATATTTTTTTATTCGATTTTCTGTGATTTTAATTTGTTCTTTTCAATATTTAGTTTATTTTTATATTTTTCTGCTGCTATGTCAAAAATGAATATTTTGTTAAAAAATTGTTATATTCTATTCTCCATCCTTGATCCTTTTCCATACAACTCTACTTCCCAGCATCACAGTCATGACTAATATCCTAAACTCCTATCACATCAATGCACAAAGATAATTTATACCACACAACAGCAGTACCTGAAACCTCGCTGAAACCTTTTATTACTTCCTCACAAATTTCCCTCTCCAATTACTCTTTCCTTCGTATTAAGAGTTGTGATCGCATGGTAGGTGGTGTCGGACTACATAAACACGATAGTCTTAAGGCCAAAATCCTTTTACAGTCTCCCTCTTATGACTTCCCTCACATCGAATATTTTTTTGTCGAAATTACTTCTATTACCTCTCGTTGATTATATGTTGTAGTCTACTGTCCTCCTCGTGTTCCATTCGACAATCTCTTTGTATCCTCCCTTGTCAACCTGGTGTCCACCTACTCCAATGTCGACATCTCCGGTGATTTTAATGTAAATATGCACTCAGAATCTTATACTTCCTTACTGCTCTAATATTTTCCCTTAATCTTTATCTTGTTCCTTATTCTCCCACTCGTCACACGCAGTTCTCTGACACCTGGTTAGACCTACACATCTCTGACTCATCC